AAAAAAAAAAAAAAAAAAAAAAAAGCAAAAAATAATCAAATAAAAATTAGAAACAACCTGAATAACAGTGGGAAGTATGTTAAATTATGGCATAGGCACCATAAAAGTCTATGAGGCTATTAAAAATCAACAGGTTAAAAAAAGATTTAAGGGCACAGGAAGATATTTATATATTGTTAAACAAAAGCTGCATCACACAATCCTATTATTCCAGGAGATGCCGTCAGCGGAGTTTGTTGGTCAGGAGGGAGAGGCAGCTGTTCATCTTGTTTTGTAGATGGGGAAACAGAAGCCTTGAGAGGGGCTGGGACTTTCTCAAAGTCACAAAATCAGTCAGTGGCACTTTGGGGCCAATAACCCTGCACTCTTCTCCCTAGCAGTATGTGCTGTTTTCTAGCCTGGGTTACACAAAACATCTCTCCTAATGTTACCAGTAGCCTTTTCAGTGAAAGAAGTTTCAGAGTTCCAGTCCCGCCCCCCGCCCACATCTGCAGTCAAGCTTGTTACACAGGAAGGTAACTCACTTCAAAACACCAGCTTATTTGTACGCACCAGTGGGAAGTCTGCTCATGTTGCCATAGCAAAATAGCGGGAACTGGGTAATGTGCAAGTAAAAGGTTTATTTAGCACACAGTTCTGAAGGTCCTAGAACATGGGGGCAGCATTTGCTTGGCCCTAGTGAGGACCTCCTCTGCCAGTGGAGTTGTGTGATGGGAACAGGAGCAGGAGTGGAAAGTGGTGTGGGTCATACAGAAGAGGGACGCAGGGAAGTTCCAGGCTTTCTTAGAACAACCCATCCTTGCAGAAACTATCCATCCCCAGAAAAGATATTTCTTGCTGCTATTTTGAAAAGTGGAAAAAAGCATTTTACAGTCTTTTTTTTTTTTTTTTTCAAAAAATTTTACATATGCAAAAATATTGGCTATTGTAATACCTGGAATTATATTTTTATTTCCTACTTTGTGCTTTTCTGTATCTTTGAATTTTTATGAAGAACATGTAAGACTTATAAAAATAAAAAGAAAATAGTGGACACGAAGAACATACCAGGCAGCATTTCAAGGCCTAGGGAACCAACCTTGACAGGTCTTTATCCTCATGAATCTCACAGGATGGTAGGGAAGACAGACATAGCAACAGAATCAAACAAGATAATTTCCTTCTTTCTTTCTGTCTTGGTTACTTTTCTCTCATTGCTGAGACAAAATACCAGACACCCAGAATTAAAGGAGGAAAGGTTTATTTAGCTCACAGTTTGTGAAGGTTTCAGTCCATACTTGGCGGGCTCCAAGGCAGAGTGGCACGTGGCAGAGGCCAACCATTCATGGTAGCAGAAGGTAGCAAAAGCAGCAAGAGCAAAAGAGAGGAGTGGTGGCAAGCAGCCTCTTTCTCTGCCTTACATATGCAAACTATCTGCCCCAAGGAGGGTGTAGCACTCACACCCATAGTCCCAGCACTGGACTATGGATCATGAGATATCTAGAAGCCCACCCCATGACTGCATGAGGATTGAGGGGGGTATGCAGACACAAACCATAATTCACTTTCTTTCTTTCTTCCTTCCTTCCTTCCTTATTTCATTCTTCCTTCCTTCCTTTTTCCCTCCTTCCTTCTCTCCTTCCTTCCTTCCTTCCCTCCCTCCCTGTCTTTCTCCTTCCTTCCTCCCTTCCTTCCTTTCTGTCTTTTTGAGACAAGATCTCCCTATGCAGTTCAGGTTGGCCTTGAACTCACTTTGTAGCCCAGGCTGGCCTTAAACTTACAGTGATCCTCCTGCCTCAGCCTTCCAAGTGCTGAGATTACAGGCATGTGGCACCATGCCCAGCTGAGATTATTTCTGATAATAAATGTAATAAATAAATGTAACATGGTAAACAGAATGATATGATAGGCAAGAACTAGGGTCAGGGTACTAGTGGCTGGCTGGGTTAAAATAACCAGAGATGACCAGCATGACCAGAAACTTTGCAGTGGAGAAGACAGCATGGAGAGAGCTGGAAAAAGCCTTTGGATGGGATGTGCAGATTAGCCAGGGTGGGAGTGTTTGGAGAAATTCAGGATGCTGTGGGCTGTCAGCCCCCAGCAGCGGGGAGCAGTATATAAATAATGTATAAATCATGGTTTATTCATTCAATGGAATACTACAAAGCAACAAAAATGAATGAACTAGTGCTAGACATAACAATAGATTAATATCATGAACAGAAGGTTGAATTTAAAATCTGGTAAAAATAATCTTCAGGGTTAGAGGTCTCAATGTTTGCCTTTGGGCAGGGGGCACCTTTGTACCCGCTGCTGAAGGATGGGTGCAGTGCCCCAAGAATTTATTATATGCTACAACAAAGGAAGTAATCTGCCTTCCAGGGAAGTTCATTTACAAAGTTCAAAGTTCCAGAAACTGTATTTACAATGTAGAGATGTCCCAGAAGCTGAAGTTAGAAAAGTGCTCTTTTCTGCCTGGCCAGAGTGTGGGAAGGGCACGTCAGTGAACACTGACATTCACTGGAGTTGATAGCTTGTGGACCACAGTGTGTGTTTCTGATGGACAGCCCATGAAGGGAGAGGCTGAAGCCAGAAAAGTCACATTAAAGCACCAAAACAAAGATCAAATGGGTGGAAGGGACACAGGTTTTTTAAAGGTAAGCCTCTAAGGAAAGGATTGAAACTGAAATGTTAACTAGAGGTTACCTCTGAACAGTGGGACTGTGGGTGATTTTAATTGTCTTCTGTGTGTTGTTTTCTGCAGCCAATAAGTATTATTTTTATAATAAAAGAAATAGGAAAGGTGTGTTTGTTTGTTTTTGTCTTTTTGAGACAGGGTCTCACTATGCCGTTCAGGCTGGCCTTGAGCTCACTTTGTAACCCAGGCTGGTCTTGAACTTGCAATGATCCTCCTGCCTCAACCTCCCAAGTGCTGGGATTACAGATGTGTGCCACCACTCCCGGCAGGTGTGTTGTTTTTGTAGGTTCTCTTAAAATCCTAGAATTAGAAAGTCAGCTGAAATCTAAAGCCTAGAAGGACTTTTGTGCAGAGATTGTGAAATAATCCGAGCCCATAGGTTCCACACCCATAACAGGAGGGAAGCAGGGCTGTGAGCTGTGGCCCTGCAGACTGAAATCCCATTCAGGGGAGGCTTTGAGGAAGGGGAACTGGAATTGTGGGGCCAAAGGGAAGGATTGGAAGGCAAACAGGCCATTGCCTGTTGGTTCCACCCATTTCTGCTATGGAGAAATGTGAACAGAGTAGTCAGATCTGAATCTCCAAGAGATGCCAAACAATCCTCTAAGCAGTAACCCCCATAAAGGACAGAAAGAACACATCTACAGGTAGGAGGACACTGTGCTGCCTATTGCAGACTCCACTGGAGTGGCATTTTAAGTCCACTGCCTGCTCTGTGCAGAAATCTCTCAGGTCTTAGAAGACCAAGGTGAAAGGGAACTCTCACGTTCTCCTACTGTGAGCCCAGCAGCATCTGGAACACACTGATCCTCGTAATCCTTATTCTCAGGAAATATTAATGATTTAATCTCCCGAGTTCATTCTGGCTTCTATGCGGCCTTGTCAGTCAGACTGACAGACAAGACCCACAGAGGTCCAGATTGTAGCAGTGCGTTCAGATTCAACTTGCCACAGACTGCTTCAGAAGGCCTCAATCTTAGCCCTTCCACAGAATTAACTTGAGGGATTCCCAGCCATGGGTGAGGTGACAGCAGAGGAGGTGGAGAAGTTTCTGGACTCAAATATTGGCTTTGCCAAAGAGTACTACAACCTCCGCTACCGGGCTAAGGTTATCTCAGAGCTGCTTGGAGCCAAGGAGGCAGCCGTGGACTTTAGCAACTACCACTCACTGAGCAGTGTGGAAGAGAGTGAAATCATCTTTGATCTCCTGCGGGACTTCCAGGAAAACTTACAGGCTGAGAAGAGCACTTTCAATGTCATGAAGAAGCTGTGCTTCCTCCTGCAGGCTGACCGAATGAGTCTGTTCATGTACAGGACCCGCAACGGTGTCGCAGAGCTGGCTACCCGTCTCTTCAATGTGCACAAGGATGCTGTCCTCGAAGACTGCCTGGTGATGCCTGACTCAGAGATCGTCTTCCCTCTGGACATGGGTGTCGTGGGACACGTTGCACACTCTAAAAAGCTTGCCAACGTCCCCAACACAGAAGAGGTACTCTTTTCCTCAAACAGAAGGCAGTGAGGCATTATTCGCTAGAGTCCTGGGGTGCAAGTGGGCTGGGGAGCTGCTGGCCTCCAAGACTAGGCTGACGATGACAAGCCACCTTTATTCATTTGCTTATAACTTTTTTTTTTGAGACAGGGTCTCACTTTGTAGTTCAGGCTGGCCTTGAACTCACTATGTAGCCCAGGTTGGCCTCAAACTCTGAGCAATCTGCCTGCCTCTGCTTCCTAAGTGCTGGTATTATAGGCATGCACACCACGCCCAGCACTTAAAATTTTTTGTTTTGAAAAAAAATTCAAACTGAACAGAGGAATTTAAAAATAATGCAAAGGACTATATTTCATCCAAATTCACCAGTCATTAACATCTTCCCACTTTTGTTTTCTCCCTCTATTTTTCCGACTTATTTGGGAGGAACTTACAGATAGCATGACCTTTTGGCCCTAAATATTTCACTCTGTGTTTTGATTTGTTTCGTTTTGTTTTTTGAGATAGGGTCTTGCTGTGTATGTCCTTCATTCTGGCCTTACACTGTGTGACTCAGGCTGGCCTTGATGCTTCTTTCCTCAGCCTCCTGAGCGCTGGGGCTACTGGTTTAGAACAAGGACATTTCTTACATATCCACAATATAATGATTGAATTCAGGAAATGTAATGTTGATATATACTGGTATCTAACAAGCAGCTCATATTAAATTTTTGCCAGTGCCTTACCTACACCTACGTAGTCCTTTCTGTTCAGTTTATGTACTTGAGTCTGAAACAAATACATTAAATGAATTTAATGTTGAGGTGTACAGATCAAGTATTTTGCAGAAATATACTTCCATTTGAACTTGTTTGATGTTAGATTCAGGCTGTGCATTACTGTCAAAAACATTACTGACGTGATACTGGTTTTCTTCATACTTTATATGAGGAGATCTGATGGTTAACTGTCCCATTACTGTAAATGTTAACATCGGTCACTGGGTCAAGCACTTGGCTCTTTCTCCTACAAGTCTACTGGCCCGTGGGTTTCTTTCTTTTCTTTTTTTTTTTTTTTTTTGGCCCATGGGTTTTTATCAGTTCTGACAAAGACCTCTTTCATCACTATGAGCAAATCATTTCCCCTGTTGGACATTAGCTTTTGTTTGTTTGTTTTGTTTTTTAGAGACAGGGTCTCACTGTGTAGTTCAGGCTGGCCTTGAACTCAGTATGTAGCTCAGGCTGGCCTTGAACTCTGGGCAATCCTCCTGCCTCAGCCTCCCAAGTGCTGGGATTGCAGGAGTGTGCTACCACATCTGACTTCAGACATTCACTTTTTTTTTTTTTTTTAATCTTTTTGAGACAGGGTCTTGCTATGCAGTTCAGGCTGGCCTTGAGCTCACTTGTAGCCCAGGCTGGTCTCGAACTTGCAATGATTTTCCTGCCTCAGCCTCCCAAGTTCTGGGATTACAGACATGCGCCACCACACACAGCTCAGACATGAACTTTTAAAGGGTACAATGCAATTGCCCATGTAGTCCTCTGCCTGAATAAGCTCCTACTTATCCTTTAGATTTCAGTTTAGAAGTCATTTCCTCAGGGAAGTCTTCTTGGATCTCCATTTTTTTTAGAGTCCCCTTCCTGAAATCATTTATCACAATAAGCCCTGGAGTCAGGGGCCATGTCTGCCTTATTCACTAGTTATCCCAGGATCCTCCACAATGTCTGGCACAAATCAAATGTCAGTAAATAAAGTATAAGAGACTTGCCTTACATCAAGTAATTATGCAGTAATTTAACTCTTGTCGCACCTAAAAGAATATTAGCCCCATAACATAACATAAGGCTCATCTGAGTCATATTTACTACTGCTAGCCAAACAAGGAGCCTCTGTTCAGCTGTTTACAAGATCTAGTCCCCAGGCGCTTTCAGTTACCTTACCCCTGGCCTAATTAAGTGTCTGAAGTTTGCAGGAGGGGATAGAGGGGCTTCCGAGATCACTTTATCCAACTGCCTTATTGTTAAGGAAGCTGAACCTAGGGGACCTTGGGAAGGGGTCTACCCAAGGTCACCAGAGTTAGGGCTAAGACAGGACTTCTACTGCAAGAATCTACTACTGCAAGAATTCAAATGAGTCGTGAAACCCAGACCTGGGCCTCTGTGGGAAACACACTGGGTAGCCACCCCCATGGGGTTCATCTCTGCTTTCATCTTCCCTTGGTTCCCCCCGGCAATGCTCTCCACTCAGGAGGCTTTCAGGAGGACTCCAGTTATGCTGGAGTTTGTTCTCCCTTCAGCAGACCCTAGACTTTAGTTGTAATCACGTGTATTATCTCACTCTGTTTCACCTTCATAAAAATCTGATGGAAAACCGTTTATTATCTCTGTCTTGCCAATGATGAAATTGAAAGCTAGACATGTTGAATCACTTGCTTGGGGTCACACAAATAGAAAGCAGCAGGCAGGGAATTTAAAGCCAGGCACTCTGGACTTGAGCCCACAGTCTTAGTCCTTTGCTCCTCTATACTTCTTCCTTATCTATAAAGTGAGAGTAGTGGATGGAGAGTCATGTAAGAAAGGTCATTTCTAATCATGTGCCGGAGTGCTAAGATCTTACACTTTGAGATCAGATCTAGGTGTGAGTTCTGCACACCTAGCCTTTGCAAATCACTTAGCCTGTTTGAGTTCATTTTCTAGTATGTAAAACAGTGATAACAGCTACCTCACAGCATTGTAAGGCTTAAATAAGAGGAGTCTTTCTCATTCAGCAGTTTTCTTGGCACATGGCAATGGCTCACTTTGGCAGTTCCTCTTTATTTTTATTATCATTATTTTGTTATTGCTGCTAGGGATCTATTCTAAGTGATGGATGCCGTACCAGGTTTGTGGTCTAGATTCTGCCCATAGGAGAGCAGAACAAAGTTCTGCGGACCCTGGCATTATGGGATTGAGGATTTAGGAAGATTCTCTGATTCTAAAAGATTCAGGCCCAGCAGTTTGCTGTATTTCTGCACAAATGATGGACTGTGTCGTCCCACCTAATTCCCAGAGTTCACCCTGGAAGCCACACCTGTCTTTTTCTGGAAGCTGTTGGCCTGGGGCCATCTTCCCGGCTGTGACTTAGGCCTGGGGCTGAAGTAAGTCCAGACCAACGGAGTCTTGTGTACTCAGTATTTGCTTCTGTTCTCCTTGGACTATCCTACTCAGTTTTTGGCTAAGGGCAGGACACGGTATTGACTGCCAAAAGGTAGAAGGTGAATGGAGGAGGGAGAAGATATGGACTGGAGTCTGGGTTGTTCCACAAACACTTGAGATGTTCCACAAACACTTGAGGAATGGTTACAATCACTGCATTTCTGAAATATGAAACCATAAATAGCGTTTTCCAGGGCTCTAATGTACCTCTTATCCCTGGCAGATTCCCTTTATCCTTGAAATCACTTCAGGAAGAGTTGTAATTAGAACTGCCAGATAAAATGTTAGATGCCCAGTTAAGCTTGAATTTTAGATAAACAAAGAATACTATTTTAGATAAATATGTCCCATGCAATATCTGCCATACAACTCAAATTATTTATTATCTACTTGAAATTCTAATTTAACAGGGAATCTTATATTTTTATTTATTAAATCTACAAAGCCTCATTGCCATTCAGGATTTATTTGCATTCATCTTAACTCTTTCTCCTAGCAGGAAAGCCATGAGGCTGTCTGTCCCTGTATTACTCATCACTGGTTCCTGGCATCTAGTCCAGAAGCCAGAACAGCGTGGGTATTCATTGCATTTGGCTGAATGAGTAAAGGAATAAATGACAGCTCTTCTCCAGCACCTCCTTAGCCCAACCACTCCCATTTCTGAAGTCTGACACTGAGAATACCATCATCTTAGAGACGGTCATAGCTAGTCTGCCTCTACTATCCTTCCCTTCTTGGAGACCTGGGACTCAGGACCCTAGAGAAGGGGGAAACCTCAAGCAGGACTTGATCCATCATCTTGATTTTACCAAAGGGGAAATTGAGGCTCAGAGAGGGTTGAGTTTCTAGCGATGTACTGAGTGGCCCTTAAAGTCAATCATAGGCCTCTTATCTCTGGGGCCCCAGGTTACATCACTCATTCTGTGGGACCTGCTTTACATTATGGTTTGAACTGTGAGTTCATGTTTTACATGAAACCCTGATATACGTTGAGGACCGAATAAGAGCAACCTCATTTTGTTGGTCCTGGCATATCTAGTGTCTGACACCGCCAGGTCTCGATGATCATGAATGAGAAAGATGACGGTTTTGAGCAGCAGGGCTTATAGGAGATGATGAGAAATACATGTAAGTCGTCTGGCTCTGGGCCAAGTATTTCATTATTATTCAATAAATATGTCTTATTGTTGTATCCAGGGGCAAGCACCGCTGTTCTGTATCAGCTGCCCACCGGGATCAGGAACTCAGCCCCAGTAAAAAGCGGGACAAAGTTTAATGAAAGGAAAACATGTTACTTGTAAGGAGGAAAAGGAAGGAGGAGAGGAGAAGATAAATAGATGGAGGAGCCAATGGGCCCTTTATTCCTGGCTGTTTTTTAAAGGGGGAGTCAGAGACCCTTCCCCGCAACCTGGAACTTGTCATAACTGGACTGGCTTTTGGGGACCTCTGCCTATCATCATTTTTGGTGGTCTATGTGAAGCTTTTTCTGTCTGTTTACTTGTCCTTGAACTACTTTTTAGGACCTTATCTTTGGGATGGGTGGCTAGTTGGCAAGGGCGGTCTTATTCGTGGTTAGCTTAGAATTAGTAAAGAGACATGTGGGTATCCACTGTACTCTATAATAATATGATGAATGTAATGACCCTAGAGTGAACATATATGTTTGTGTATATATATGCTAGTGTGCAGGTGTGGGTACATATTTGTATGAGCTTTTTTTGTTTTGTTTTTGTTTTTGTTTTTTGAGACAGGGTCTTACTATGTAGTTCAGACTGGCCTGGAACTCACCATATAGTGTAAGCTGTCTCAAACTCATAGACACCTTTCTGCCTCAGCCTCCTGAGTGCTGGGAGTACAGATGTATGTCACCATGCCCAGCTGGTGTAAGAGCTTTTTCCAAAGTTAGTCAGCCCCTGCCTTGTGCCTCTTCCATTGTATTGGAGCTGGAGAGGGATGGCTATCTCAGCTTGGCTTTGTGCGCTTGGCTTTCTTTGTACTCTGTCCATTCTCTCTCTGGTCTCTTGGTGCAAGTCCCAAGGCCATTTGGTGCCTTTTTTTGCTTGGTTTTTCTCTTTCTACCCCTATCTCTGACCTAGGAGAAATCTCTCTAGTAAAGTTTGTTTTTGATGCTAGTCAGGATTAGGTAGAAGACCTAACGATGCCCCTGTTTTATTTTTTCCCTGGCTCCAGACCCCCGACCCTACATTATCATGAGATACAGTAGAGCCTGGCACTGTCAGTGTCTGAAAAAGGGCATTGGAGAATCTGGTATGAGAAGCAGTATTGCACTGCACTCTAAAATCTAAGCTCTTTACTGTGGCCTCAAAGCCATACTGGATCTGGCCCCTGCCTGCCTTTCTAACTTTCTTTCCTCTGTTCTCCCTCCCCGTCTCTGTGCTTCAAACATGCTGATCTTTCTGTTCCTCAAACTTCTCAAACTCATTCCCTCCTCCTGGGCTTTGTGCTCTCTGCACCTGCTTGGATTGCACTTCCTGTGCCTGACTCCTGTGATCCTTCTGCTGTCAGTTCAATATTATGTCCTCAGAGAAGCTTCCCGACCACCATAACTATCTAATGTAGCTCAGCCACCATCCCTTCCATCCCTTTCTTCACCCAGCTTATCTCCTCCAAGGCAGTTATCACAAGCTGGAAAGAGAAGGCGTAGCTGTGACTTGCTTTTTTCTCTGTCTCCCCCATTGAAATGTAAGTTTTACTGGGGCAAGAGGTCCACCCTTGATCACTGCTCAGGGTCCAGGGCCTCACACAGAGAAGCCACTCTGTTAATATTACCTGAATGAATGACTTGGAGCTTTCTAACTGGCCCTCTGATTCCTGCCCTTTAAAATAAGTGATTAGAGTTAACTGGCTTCTAACTCTTCTGCCTCTGTTTTCTGACATTCTGTAACGTGGTTGTTTAGAGCATTCCATAAGCTGAAAACATAGATATGACAGTGATTAGGTTGATACCAGTTAATTGGTAGTGGGAGTGCTATAGGAGAGTTCCAGGGCTGAGAACTCAGAGGGAAGGAAAGAGGGTTGTGGTAGATTTCAAAACATCTGCCTCAACTATATTTGCATTTCTTAATAGAGACTGAACTGACTGCATGAAATGTATCTGAGCGCGCCCCACCCCATCTGTGCTCCAGAACTGTCCTTAGAGAATGACATAGAATTTTTTTTTGGCTAATGCCTCCTTAGAGATTTGCTTAATCCTCAAGTGCTAACGCAAATAGAAGCTTCTTTTAATTCCTTTACCCTTCGCCTGGCTTGGAGCAGCCTCACTGACAACAATGCTTTTGCCTATTTATTTAATCCCATTATAACTATAAGAAATCCAAAAACACAGAGCAATAACACTCAGAATTTCTGAATTATGGGAAAGAGTCTGCAGACTTAGTTTTAGAAAAGTTCTGTGAATTGATTCTTGAATTGATTCTATGAAATATATTTCCATTCTCAGAACAGCATGCACTGTGCATGTTTGGGCTAGCTCAGTCTCAAGCAGTGCAGATAATGAGGAAATGCACCACGGCGTGGGGAAACGTAAAGGTGAACTTTTTTCAAATTTAAGATAACAATCCACGATCTCACTCCTCATTCTGACCACACAGACTGCACTGTGCCAACACTGGCCTGTCCTTGCTGACACTCAGCCAGTACTGCCTTCAGGGTGAGGTCTGAGGGGAGTGTACTCCTTTGTATTCCCACAGCTTTGAGCCAAGCCCTTCTTCCTGTATTAGTGTTAGGGGCTTGAATCTTACTCGTTCAAGGCCTCAGTGTTTGGTATAGGTCTTACATACAGGGGGGCTTCCACTGACACTTATAGAATGAGGACATCCATTGAACTGGCTGTGTAGTGCTAGAAATGGATTGTTAGAAAAGCTGAAAATAATAAATCCTTTTGTTCCATGACTTGAACCCACTGTAAACTTCTCCAGGCTTCTGTGAGAAGTAGTACAGCTGAAGTAGTAGAGTCATGCACACTCACAACTAATATTAACTTTGAGTTACAGGTCACCCTTCTGTAAAGCGGACTAATGGTGCATCTCAAAGGTTCTTGAGAGGATTAAAATGGAGTGATACAGATGAAGTGCCATGCACAGCATCTGCCAGGTGTTGTCACTATCGTACTCACCAAGGTGTTTCCCCAACTCCCTCATGGCTCTCACTCACATTTCTGTTTCTGGTGTAATGTCATCACCTCAGGAAAGCCTTCTTTAACCCTTTCTCTTCAGTCATTGTCTCCCTTTCATCCCTGGGCCAAATGCTTTGCACACCTTTTCATGGTCCGTAGTGGGTTGCATCTCAGACCTTCTTCTACTGGGCTTTGGAGATGTCCATGGCACAAGTTATGTCTGCTTGCCCAGCCCTTGCTGAAGGGGTGTAGTTGGAAATGTCTTCATTCTCTTGTCAACAAGGGGCTCTGGGTTGTTCTATTATTCCTCTTTATCTGCCTACCCATCCTTGTCTCTGCCTTCCTTTAGGATGAGCATTTTTGTGACTTTGTGGACAACCTCACAGAGTACCAGACCAAGAACATCTTGGCCACCCCCATAATGAATGGGAAAGATGTAGTGGCTGTAATCATGGCTGTGAATAAAGTAGAAGGATCACACTTCACCAAGAAAGATGAAGAGGTAAGCCTCCTACAAGAAATGCTGGGGTGGCCGTACTAGCACATTGCCCTAGCTCATAAAGTTCCCCGAACCTCGCCGTTTGGCTTTGCCTCAATTTCCCCATCTGTAGGATGGAGATTTGTCTGATTCTCTTTGAGGGAGATGAGACAAAATAATGTTTCAAATAGTGGGTTTTAGAGTCAGGAATGGAGGATTAATTGTTGCAATCTCTAGCTGACTTGGGCAGGTCACCAAGCTTCTCAAAACCTGTTTTCTTATTTGTAAAATGGGGATGATTTTACAGTGTTCACCTCACAGTGAACTTGTGATTGCAAGGTAGTATATGTAAGTGACTTACCACAGGGACAACAAGTTCAATATAGACATCCCTCATTTAATGCTTGTTAGGGTTGTAAGTCCAATAGTCATTAACCAGGTAGCTCGTTAAAGGAACAATACCTGTAAATAGTAGCTTCTTAAAAATGAATACAGCCCATTAATATTCTACATTCTATGAGTTTTATACCCAATGCAACATGTTATGAGTTTGCATACTATAATCCATGTATTCAAATTGCCTCTGATGAAGCTTTTTAAACTTTCAGACATTTGGTGATGGTAGAAGTAGCCAGGGGGAGGATTTTTCCTCCTTCTCAACTGCTTGCTCCATCCTATTTCATTTTTAGATTCTTCTCAAGTACCTCAATTTTGCAAATCTAATCATGAAAGTGTTCCACCTGAGTTACCTGCACAACTGTGAGACTCGACGTGGCCAGGTAAGGAGCTTGGCTCAAGGAATGGACTGGGCATGTCCTTTTACTAAAGCATGGGTGGGCTCAGGGCTGGCAGAGCAGATGGTAATGCAGAGGACTGGGATGCATTATATAGTTTCATAACGTAAGACTTATGAGGTAGTGGATGTTTGTAAAGCTATCTCTCCACGCATTATATGCAGAGTTTTTAAGTCAGATGGCTTGAATTTGATTATCTGCTCTTTAAGTAGCTCTAAGATCCTGAGCAGGTCACTTATTCTCTCTAAGCTTTAATCCCTCCATTTGAAAAATGAATATAGTTGTGGTATCACTCTCAAAGTATTACTATCAGTAGTAAATGAGATAATATGTGTAGGGCACTTATACTCAATTAATGTTACTTATTTATTTCTGCAATACTGGACATTGAACCCAGAGCCTTGTGAAAGCTAGGCAAGCACTCTGCCACTGGGCTTGAACCTCAGCCCTATTAATATTAATATTATTATTATTATCAGCGTTTGAGATAAAAAAAGTGAAAAGACATAGACCCCATGTAAACTGGTCAGTTATTTCACCCAAGCCTGTTGTTCCACCTATAAAACTGAGATAATTGTACCATTTCTTTCTCTACATTATGTGAGAGTTAAGTGTGATAAACTCTAGTAACTCTGTTATTCTCTAGCTGAGTGAGCTGCTGCTTTGTGTCTCAAGAACGCTGAGCCTGTTTCTTCTATATTTCTTCAGATACTGCTGTGGTCCGGCAGCAAAGTCTTTGAAGAGCTTACAGATATCGAGAGGCAATTCCACAAAGCCCTGTACACAGTCCGTGCGTTTCTCAACTGTGACAGATATTCTGTGGGTCTTCTAGATATGACCAAGCAGAAGGTGAGAAAATCAGAAGGACACACAACCCAAGGGTAAACAGACCTACTGCACAGAATGCAGGGTCCCATCTCATGTGCAGAGGCACAGGGGGGAGGCTGGGAAAATGTGGATGATTGTGAAAAGTTTGACACGGATGTTTATTGAAGTACCAGTTTTTGCAGGGGAAAGTCAATCAAGAGCAGAGGTAAGGACAAACAATCGCACATTCCTTGGTCTTTTGGGAAAGAAAGGAGTGGAAGATGGCTGGGAGGTAGTAAAGGTAAGTGACAAAGCAGTTTCTATATAGGTTGAAAGTCCAGAATAAAGTTGCCAACTTCAGGAATGCACAGAAAATCTACTAAAAGTTGAGGATAAGACTTTCCTCTGCTTTGTCTCGCTCAGGGCTCAATTGAAGTGGAGACAGATTCTTTATCAGATCCTTCAGAACGACCAGGGGCCAGATTTATGGCCAGTACTGCAGCAAAGGAGGCAGAGTTCAGTGTAGCCCAGGAGAGTGTTTCAGCTATGTTTTCCCAAACAAATTTTCCTATTCTTCTTTCTTTATTCATCTTTTCCTTGTGGGGCGGGTCACTTTCTGCTTTGGAGGAGAGATTTTGAGTATCTAGATTTACCATTTCTTATCCAAAACCCAAGGTACAGGAAGCTTATCTTCATTTGTGAGTCTTGTACTGAGTGTGGTACCCAGCCCAATACGGGCTGTCCAGTGCTGAGTCAAATGCGTTGCGGAGTCTGGGGCTGAAAAAGATCGTCATTGTTCAAAGCCCCCCAGACTTGGCATTTCATGAAGATCTCCTGAGGAGCTGATTAAAAACTGCCGGGCCATATCTTTTATATCTTGCTCTTTTTACTTAATGTTTTATAAGCATCTTTCCATGCCCCCACACACGTTCTTTTTAGTAAGCCTTTACATTGAAGCATAAGGGACACAAAGGAGCACTACCTGTAGAAATAGTATCATTCAGTGAATTACCACGGAGTGGACTTCCCACGTCACCATCACCAAAATTTAGAAATGGAGCATACCAAGCCCCTCAGCAGCCCCTCTCGTAACCTTTCCAGTACCTGACACAACCTCTTCTTTGAAGGTACCACTATCAGATCTTTAACACCATATTTTGGCTATTTTGAGGTGCACATAAATGGAATCATATTAGCATCTGGTCTTGTATCTGGCTTCTTTTGCTCAGTATTTTGCTTGTAAGATGCAACCTTGTAAGATTTGTGCTCTAGGCAGCGTTAGTTCATTCTTTTCGTTCTTGTGGAATGTTCCATTATACGACTAATCCACAACATGTTTATTATTTCTATGGTTGATGAACATTTGAATTTTCAGATTTGGGTTATGATGAATGCTGTTTTTAGGAACATACTAGTAGATATTTTTGGTAAACTGTGGTATCCATTTCTGTTTGCTATTTACTTAAAATTAAAATTTTGGGGTTAATAGCTTTCGTAGCTGTCATTCACCTGATTTTCAGAACAGTCGTGCCATTTGTACTCTCACCAGCAATATATAGGGATTTCTCGCCAATACTTTGACAATGGTTGTTTTTTAAAAATTTATTTTAAAAATAAAAGAAGTAAAGCATATTAACAAACAGACATCCATTTACAAAAATAGCATAAGAACAATACAAGCAATACGGAATTATAGACAAAGTAGTAGGAAATTAACAATTGTTGTCACCAATACTGTGTACTGTCGCTCTTGTATTCTCACCCATTCTGATGAGTATGTGGTGTTATCTCTTTTAGCATTAGCATCCATTCCCCTAATGACTGATGAAGTTGAACATTTTTTGATATGTCTGTTGGCCACTTGGAAATATTTTCCTCATTTTTTATTGTATTGTCTTTTTATCCTATTAATTTGTAGGAGTCCTTTACAAATTCTGGACACATCTTCTATTGATATATACATTGCAAGTATCTTTTCTCATTCTGTGCTTTCCTTCTTTTAATACTGTACTGTGTTTTTATGACTATATGTTTTACATAATGATGTTGTCCAATTTATCAATCATTATGGTTGTTGGCTTTTGTTCTCTCCTTCAAAATCTTTCCTGGCTCTAAGTTCAAAAAGATATTTATCTATGTGAACTTGTAAAGGTTTTATTGTTTTAATTTTCTCATATAGCTCTCTATAAACTACCTGATTTTTTATGTATATTGTGAGGCAAGGTAAACATTACTTTTTTCCCTGTGGATATACAGTTGACCTAGTATTTTTTATTGAAAAGACTATCTTTCCTTTTTTGTGCCTTTATCATCAATCAAGTGTGGATAGGTCTATTTCTGGAGTCTTTGTTTTGTCCCGTTGGTATGTTTATCAAGCCTTGTGCAGTATCATACTCTTTCAGTGTATTTATGAAATGTCTTGATACCCAGTTATAAAGGGTTCTCTAAGTTTGTTTTCACATGTTAGAGTTTTCCACCATGTTTTATGTCTCTTATACTCTTTGTGTTTTCCATCCTTTCCCATTTTTTCTTCAGATTGAATATTTCTGATCTATCCTCCATAATTACGAGTCCTTTCTTCAGTTTGGCTATTAAGCTATATATTTAACTCAATTTCAGATATTTTATTTTTTAAATTTTATTTTACTTTTATTTCATTTTTTGTGGTGCTGGAAACCCAGAGCCCTGAACATGGCAGGCAAATGCTCTGTTATTGAGTTATACCTCTCAGCTCTCAGTTCTTTCAATTTTAGAATTTCCATTTTGTTCTTTTTCTATAATTTCCAGTTTTTCTGTTAAAATTCTCTCCTCTGCCACCTCCTTCTGCCTCTTCTTTTTCTTTTTCTTCTTCTCCCCCCTCTCCCCCTTCCCTTCCTTCTTCCTCTCTCTCTTGATTTGTGGTCCAAGGATCAAACCCAGGGCCTTATACATGCAAAGCAAGTACTCTACCACTAAGCTCTATTCCCAGCCCTCTGTTTTGTATTTAATCTCTTGGACATAATCACAGTTATTTTATTCTGGGCCTGAGAACAATAATATCTATAAACATCATCTATGTATTTGTTTCTATGTTCCATTTCCCCTCCTGATTTTTTAGTTAATTCTCATCTTTCCTATGTCTGGTTATTTTTGTTTGCTATTAGAGACATGTGAGAAATTACAGAGACAATTTGAAATTGTGTGCAATAATACTTTCCTCCAAAGTGGATTATGTTATTTTATTTATTTATTTATTTTTCAAAGTGGATTGTTTTACTTCTCTCTGGCAAACAGTTGCGGACTGAGCTGATTATGAAGCTGGTCTTCAGTCTTTGAGTGGGCTGGTCTACTTCTGGTTCACTTTTACTCCAAGGATATAAACTTGCATGGAGATGTGGAATCCAACCTTGGATTTGTTTGTTTGTTTGTTTGTTTGAGATGAGGTCTCACTACACTGTTCAGGTTGGCCTTGAACTCACTATGTAGCCCAGGCTGGCCTCGAGCTCATGACTATGTTCTTGCCTCAGTTTCCTGAGTGCTGGGATCACAGGTGTAACCTACACCTTGCCCAACCTAAGGTTTTTTCAAAATGCCTCTTCCTTGGCAGGGCCTGAATTCTAAACTTGCCCTTGCCTCGTGGGTCACGTGTGAGCTTTGCTTGGCTTCTTTGCTACTCAGAATCATCTTTGGCATCAGTATGTGTGTTGAAAGGAAAAGCTGAATCTGATGTCATGCTCATACCTCTGAATTTTTCTTATTTCTGGGATCTTGGTCCATTATGTCCTTATTATCTTGTTAGATGTATGATTCCTTCAAAGAAATGTTTATACACACAGATATACAGTCTGTGGAGGTTTGATCTGGAACAAGTTAGTCCATCATTTACTTTTCTTTGTTTTGTAGTCCTATTACCTGCATTTTGAATAGAATGAATATGTCATAATTAATTTAGCCTTTCTCCTATTGCTGGCATTAAAAGTCTTTATAAATATTCTTGCAAGTAAAGATAGTGTTGCATTAACAACCTTGGTGTTGAGTACTTATATACTTAAGTGCAAATATGTATAGACTAGAGTTGTAGAAGGGTATTTACTAATTTTTATTTTGCCTTTCCTGAAATTTTTATATTTATTTCTCCCAAGTTTTCCCTTTAAACTAAAGTCTTTATAGTATTATACTACCATTCATACTGCATGAGAGTTTTATTTCCTAAAACTCTTATGATTCCTTACACCATATTTTTCCCCTATCTGAATGACAAAAAGATGGTATCTTCTCTTTCAGTTGTTTTTCACTGCTTATTAGTAAAAGGAAATACATTTTGTATGTTTCTGTTTTGATTTTTCTTCTACATATTGCCAAGACATATCACTTGTTGGTTTTTAAGATTGTGTTGTCTATGGATTCATAAGAGTGCTTTATATATGATAGAGGTTATATATCTGTAACAAATGCTACAAACTTCTTCCCTGTCTAGAGATTATATTTTGTTTATGACATCTTCATCAAATAGAAGACTTAAATTTTATGGCTTCTGAGTCCTGAGTATTATTTAATAAAGTTTTCCTTACTATCAGTAATATAATTTGAAATAATCTCATGTGTTATCATTTATTTATTTATTTATTTATCTATTTAGTCTTTTTGAGACAGGATCTCACTATGCAGTTCAGGCTGGCCTTGAGCACACTTTGTAGCCCAGGCTGGTCTCAGACTTGCAATGATCCTCCTGCCTCAGCCTCCTGAGTGCTGGGATTACAGGCGTGTGCCACCACTCCGGGCAGAGTTATATTTTGGTATATTTACAGTTTTTTTTTAATATACAAAACAGTTTATTTTTCTTGGCAATTTAAAAGTACATAACAATTTGAAATGAATACATGTTGCTAGTGTTTTGTCCTTACTACACAGTTGTGATTAAAAGGAACTGTTCCATTCAGTTAAAATCTAATGAATACCATCAGTTTTCCTGGCTTATTTTTCTGATCAGAATTAGTAAATAAACATAATTTTGCTACTCCATGAATGGTGCTCAGAAAATTACAATATCATAGTTCACATAAAGCCCTTTAAAAATGTCATGTCACAGGTTGTCTATGTTAAGGGTAAATAATGACAGCAAGTATACTTATAGTTTTAATTCATATAGTTTAATCTTTTGCATTTAACTATGTGTATGGTGTGAGGTGGGGTATTTTTTTCTCTGTATTTTTCCACTTAACTAATAATCCACAGATGGGTGTGGCAGCACATGCCTGTAACTAAGAAGTCGAGACGGAAGGATTTGAGCCTAGCCTGGGAAATTTAGCAACTTAGTGAGAAGCTGTCTCAAAAGGAAAAATAAATGTGGATGAGGCTTAGTGGGAAGGTCCTTAGCTTAATCCTCAGTACCTTAAAATCAGCAGCAGCAGCAGCATCACCACCACCACCATCATCCATCCTTTATCCATTATGTAACAACAGCACTATTTTAATAAGCCACTTATCATATATCATATTTTCATATACACATGGATCTACCTTTTACCTTTAAAATAGCTTCCTAAATATTTCTGTTGTAGTTGGGCCATACACTGATGTTAAGGAACCTCTACTTCTAATGCAGCCATTTATCTGATTTTATATATTGTTGAATCATAAGTATCTTGCCAAATATTACAAATTCCAGCATTATAACCTTGGCTTGAGCTGGGTGTGGTGCCACACGCCTGTAATCCCAGCACTTGGGAGGCTGAGGCAGGAGGATCATTGTGAGTTCAAGACCAGCCTGGGCTACAAAGTGAGCTCAAGGCCAGCCTGGGCTGCATAGTGAGACCCTATCTCAAAAAGACAAAAAAAAAAAAAAAAAAAAAAAAAAAAAAAAAGAGAGAGAGAGAGAGAGAAAAAACCTTGGCTTATCCTTCATGAAGAAGTAAATGAATGAATTCATACAAGTAATAATTTCTTTTAAATGAAAAGGAAAAAAATTTTTGAGACAGGCTTTCCTGTTCTGCCCAGGCTGGTCTTAAACTTTTGGGTTGGCTCAAGGAATCCTGCCTCTTGAGGAGCTGGAACCACAGATGCACACTGCTATGCCCAGTTGCTATTGTTTTGCAGTGTTGGGATCAAGCCTAGATCTTCATGCATGCTAAACATCTACTCTACCACTTTATTTATTTTTTATTTATTTTAAGGATAAAAGGAGGGAAACATTAACAGACATACAACATTTTACAACATATCACAAGCACAATACAGACAATACAGAGTTACAAACAAAGTGGTTACTCTACCACTTTATTACATCCGCAGCCCAATCAAAAGACTTTCTCAGTAGTCAAATTCTTAAGACTCCACTTCCAGGTGCCCAGGTTGTAGCATGAATCGATCCCAGGTTCAGTCCTCTCTATACTGTAATGTTCTGCCCTCTTGCCCTTTCCAGTTCCTTCTCAAAAGGAAAAACCACATGTAAGCGAGAATATTTCGACTTACTTATCCCCCAAAGATGGAACAGTTTAGCAATTGGAAGTAGGCCATGCAACCTTCATTCTAAGAACCTGCCTACTTGGTCTATATGACATTATGAAAAAGTCAGTAAGCCCTTGAATTGTACACTTTCAATGGATAAATTGTATTATATCTTAGTCTGCTTTCTGCTACTATAACAAAATACCTGAAGCTGGTTACTTTTTAAGGAAAAGAGGTTTATTTAGCTCACAGTTTTGCAGGTTGAAAGTCTAAGATGGGGCATCCCTATCTGTTCAACCTCTAGTAGCAGATTGTATCACAGTGGTGGAACCATATGTACAAATCATCACATGGTGAATATGACAAGAAGCCAGAAAGATTCAGCACCAGATTTACTCCTTTTATAACACCCTACTCTTTTGGGAACTAACTGGGGTCCATCAAAAGCTATAATAATCCCTTCCCCAGTGACCCCACAACCTTTCACTAGGCATCACTCTTAAAGGTTCTACCATCTTTATACTACCACACTGGGGTCAAAGCTTCCAGCACATGAGCCTTTGGACATACTTAAACCATATGCAAATCATAGTACATGATATATAGGTTATATCTCAATAAGCTATTAAGAATGAAAAGAAGAAAGGAAGAAGAGAGAGGGACGATGGAAGAGGACATAGTTTCCCACTTTTTGCCCTGTTTCACAATTTCTCTGCTCCTTGGGAGAATCTTCAGACCCATTTGACTATACAAGGCATCAGCTCAATGCACTTTTTCTTCTAGGTTCCACTAGCATTTATGCTCTCCTTCCATTACTGCTTCATTCTTATTCCATCTATCTTACTCTAGTAACTTAGGACTGGTCTGGGCTTAACAGTGAATTCAAGAGCAACCTGGACTGCATAGCAGTACCCTGGCTCAGAAAGCCAAAAAAAAAAAAAAAAAAAAAAAAAAAAAAAATTAACAATCTCATTCTAATTACCCAGAAGAAACAATTTGTTAAAACTTACATGTGAAAAAATCACATATATAATTAAAGAGAGAATCACATTATATTTTGGTTTTGGTCCCTCAGATTTTCCCCTCAGCATATCATGGGCACCTTTTTAATCAAGATAAATATACCCAACATCATTGTTAATAGATGCACCTTAATTGACTTAATAAGTTCTTTCTGCTTGGACATTTAGATTATTTCCAATTTTTCACGACTATAAATCATATTGCATAGGAAGATCATTTTAGCTAATCCTTCAACCACATGCTTAGCGTGTCTTTAATATATTTCTTAGTCACAGAGACCCCGCTTGCCCAGTCTTATCCCACGGTACTGAGGGTGCGCAGCTCAACTCTCATGTTTATGGCTACTGAGTAGACAGGCCCCGTTCATCATTATTTTACAGGGCAGATGGGATTATCCTCTGAATCTGGTGAGTCTTGCTGCCCTCCAGCTTAGATTTCAGTGAGTTTTTCTCACCCTCCAACTTTCATGTAGGTTCGACATCTTACTCTCCTTTTCTTGGTCTATTTTCAAAACATGTAATTACTAATTTTTTTTTTTACTCCTAGGAATTTTTTGATGTATGGCCAGTTCTGATGGGTGAGGCTCCACCCTACTCTGGTCCCAGAACTCCAGATGGAAGGGTAAGTCTCTCTCTGGTCTTTTCAGTATAGATAAACGTTGAATGAAATTCAAATGCAAGGCACAGTAGACTCCACTGAAAAACATGTCTTTATCACATAAGGTTTTATCTTCTCAGGGTTAGGTTGTCACCCTTGAGTTATAGTAATTTTTCTCTATTAGGGACCTGATCAAGATCCCCAACTGCTTCTGTTGGGGGAAAGGTGAAGGATGAAGGAAAAAAAAGCAACAAATTTAGTTCATAAAAGGGGAGCTGGGAGGTCAATGCCTCAGGACGGGCAGACAGTGACACCCGAGCCAGCCACTATTTATTGGGTGCACGCAGTAATCAGAGGGAGTATCAGATGGCTGAGGGCTGTGATGACCTTAAGATGATGAGGATGTTATGTTGAGGATCAGTTTGGATGACTCAGAGGGCTGATGCGGTCTTGCCCTGGACCATCACAGCATCACAGAACCAATAAGGCCTTCAGGCCCTAGACTCGATTTATAATTGGTGGTCCCCAACATTTCACAGTTGCCAACCCCTGTCACTTCACAGTTGCCAATGCCTGTGATTTTAATATCTTGATGGATTTTCATAGTAATCTGGCGGGGTAGACAGAGGAGTCAATATCTTCATTTCATAGATGAGGAAAGAGCCCCACAGAAGTCAAGCAACCTGTTTCAGGATTCACTCAGCAGGAAGTTAGAATCAGACAATTAGTACTGGAAAGAACCTTTAAATCTAGTCTAGAATATTCAAATTGGTACTTAGAAGGCCAATTATAACTGATAGAAATGCTATTTGACTGCTTAAGTTTAAAGGGTTTTGGGGTTTATATTTTTTAAAAAGTTGAATTGGTGGCTAACACTTAATAAACAAGATACTTTCCCATAAATATTGGGGCTATCAGTTTTTTTTGGGGGGGGGGGTTTTCTCTGGCACCAGGAACCGAACTCACGACCTTGCGCTTGCCAGGCAGGCACTTTTGTCACTGAGCTAAATCCCCAGCTCCGGGGCTATCAGTTTGAAAAGGTGAAAGTTAGTCAGAACCTGACCCATGATCCCACAGGGTGAATCTGATGAGAGTTGAGTAACTGCTGTGTCCTGGGAATGTAGCCTGAGTTCCCAGCCTGCCGCAGTCCCCACCTCTCAGAGCGCACATGTGCATTTGGCCCCATGCTGTCCTCTGTGTTTCTGTCGGTCCCCTCCCTACACCCTGACATTTGCATTTCTGGCTTTTGGGCCCAATAAATTGCTTGTTCTAAACATGAGGCACAATACCTTTTGAGATGATGAAATAATGCTTATGGGATGTGAATATGATGCATGGTGCACAACCAGCCTCAAAACCACTAACCGACTGAACAACTTTGCTGGTGCTTTACAGGAGAAGTAAGCAGGGGGCTCTGCCCTAAACTGAGCTTTAGTTCAATATCCTTCCCTTAAAGAGAATTTTAGACTATACAAAATAGTGTTATCAGTTTCTCCCAGAAGGTTATTCCACCTAGTGCTAACCCTGCCTAAGTAAAGGGCCATGTGTGTGTGTGTGTGTGTGTGTGTGTGTTTGTGAGTGTGTATGTATATGTGTAAATAAGATGTCAGTTAGTCTAATTCAGACTTTAGGAATTCAAATTCACACCTCTTGTTTGTGAGTTTCTTATACACATCAGAGAAGATTTTAAATTTGGAATCTATTTTGTGTGCCCTGCTTTATCCAAAATGACCATCATAACCTGTTGCCATCAGGTTCAAATTCTCTTGCCCATATGATTTCATTTCAAAGCCCAAGTTTCCACTCTATCATTCTACTCATCCGGAACATTATCTGGAGACATGGTCCTTTTTGTGTGTGTGTGTGCTGGAATGAAACCCAAGGTCTTGTGTGCTGGTATGTACATGCTGTAGCACTAAGCTACACTCCCGGCCTAACAGCTTTTTTTAAAGGGCAGCTTTTCAAGGCCTAGCTGTCTTGTGTTAATATGTGAGGGTTGTTTACACATTCCCACTGGGTTTTTTTCTCCAGTTTATGTATAAACTGAACCTCTTCTCTGGAAAGTTAGAAGTGGTGGAACTGAGCCAGACATAGTGGTGCACAGCCTGGAGTTTTGAGCTGAGCACTTAAATTAAGTCAGACTTCTGAGGTTGTCTCCAGCTCTACAGCAGCCAGAGAAATGACAGGCTCCAATCCCTCTGGCTTGTCACTCTCCTGTGCCCCAGTCTTCAAGAGTGAGCTGAGCATTACATGTTTTCACTGAGCACCAGGCCCGGAAGATCTGTTCAACATCTGACCCATTCAAGAGGTTCTGGCATTATTGAGGTGACTGGCAGGCCGTCCCATGGCTTTCATGTTGAGGCCCCCGATGAGTGAACTGTGCCCCATAGAGGGAGGAAAAGTGTCCTAAACTGGAGCTGCTGGGATTGGAGGGAGGAGAAGTGGAGAAGACAGCCAGAGACTTCGGTTCTGCTGACATGAATATAGAAATCTGGAAGGTCAAGAAGCTCCTTAAGCACCTAGAGGTGGCCCGCAGCATGATATCATGACCCGCTCCTGCGCAAGCCCACAGTTTCTGAGGGGCAAAAATGTTAGCAGATGAGCTGGCAGCCACTTTTCAGACTTGGATGCTAGTTACATCTGTACAAAGGCTCAGATGTTATTGAAAAGCACCTCCAAATGGACTGGTTGTGTATTGTGTGGAAACTGCAACAAGAAGAAAGAAAAGGAGTCAGCACTGACTTCTACCCTTGCAAGCCAATTAGTGCATCACTGCATTTGTGTAAGAAGTTCCATCTAGCCGCTTTCATAGCACTATGTTAAGATGATGGCTAAACTCTAAGACGACTAGAGTGTGCTTTTCGGCATGCCTCAGGGAAATATAAAAGAGGTCCTGTAACAAATCCACATTGGAGCTCCCAGAGAAACATGCCAGAATGTTGCCCACTTAGAATGGAATGGAAAAGACATATAACTATGTCCAGAGAAGAGCAGAGACTGCTGCGCAGCTGTTTATTTCTGGGGACAAAGGGAATATCGCTGGTCCTAGTTTACCTGCATCAGTGGACTTTAAAACAGAACTAAGTCAATCTGTTATGTTTGGTCAAAGGTTATGAAGTTTTAAAATTAACTGATATATCCTGTGGTGGTGAAAATGGATTCAACCAAGCCATTGAATTAGGTATTGAAATCCTCTCTAGTTTAAAATTCACCTTGGAGAAGAAATTAATAGGTGATACTATGATGAAATCAGCCAGTATTGAATTATTAATTAAGTTTATTAGTACATCTAGGTATACACAATAATCGTCTTCATCATAGGGAATTTCTACCTGTACATGACATAACTTGATTTTAGAGTTGAAGATACACTAAAGGCTTTGGAAATGGTAGATAAAGAGATTCAAATAGTCTATGAAAATCTGATTAGCCAGGTGTGGTGGTACATGCCTGTAATCCCAGCACTTGGGAGGCTGAAGCAGGAGGATTGTTGTGAGTTCGAGGCCAGCCTGGGCTACAAAGTGAGCTCAAGGCCAACTTGAACTGCATAGTGAGACCTTGTCTCAGAAAATAGGGAAAAAAAGGAAAATCTGATTAGCTGAGGCATGTTCTTTACTGCCAAGTCAGAGAAGAGAAGAAGATTTTCCAACTAACTCCAAAACAAAAGAAGGATAAATCTCATTCTGCAAAGACACAGGACAGGAACATGAGCTGATTGAAAACATAACCCTCCTGGAATGACTTGCTGACAAATCTGCATGGAAAATTGTCACAGATAAGTCAAAAGAAGGATCCCAGTTTGTAAAAGATTTGGCAGACCTTCGTGGTAATAGATAGATTTCCAGGGCTGGGATATAGCTCAGTGGCATAAAGGCTTGCCTGGTAAGCCTGAGGTCATGAGTTCAATTCCCAGTACAAAAAACAAAACAAAAAAACAAATAGATTTCCAAAGAAGAGATGATGAAAAACTTTATTTTACGTTGAGTACTAGGAAGTCTACGTAGGTACAGCAAAACATGTTTCACTCTCTGCCTTCCAACCCAAGGAACATACCTGTGGCAGTTTCCAAACAGACCCCTTCCTTACCATTGGAACATTTCCAGAATTTAATTGATGGGCATTGGTTACTGAAACCAAACCAAACCAAACCACACCAAAACCAAACCCAGTCCTCCACTTTGGTTTGTAATAGTGTCAGTGTAGCAGTCTACAATGAAGTTCCTAAATGTCACTTAGGACTAATCTTAAAAGGAATCTCATTTTTAACTTTTACTCAGTGATAAAAATTGGTCACTTTGTATTTTTTTTATGAAAGAATTTTAAAACTTTCATACACAGAAACAAAAATACTTTAACTACAAGTGTCTTCAAAAATTAGTAAAAGTGGGAGCATTAAAAAAATACCTTTGTTTCCCCCTAAATCCTTCTATGTTTCAGGTAGCAAGCCCTTAGTCTCTACAACAGTGTCAGGTATAAAGTTGTAATGGAAAAGACCATGGCCTTAAAGACAAAGAACTTTGGTGCTAGTTGGTTGCTCACCCATAGGGTAAGCTTGGCCAAATAACTTTGTGGATCCTTGATTTTCTTATCTAATAGGTTTTTTTCATAAACTCACCTCCAAGGTCATTCCTGGGTCTAAGACACAACCACAAGGAAAGCACTTTCAGGCCTGAATGGGAATCCAGATGCAGACTAACAGGATGGGTCACCAAGACGAATGTAGTTATTATGCATTACAGACATATACTAATTAAAAAGGAAACTAAATAAAGATAAACACTCAATTGGTCAGAAGTGGATCTTCTGTAAAGAGCATGGGCATTGTGGGAAGAAGCCTGAATTTTGATCCCAGCTCTGCCAGCTAGTGGTGTGACCCTGACACATCTCTAGAAGCCTTGCCTTCCTCCTCCATTAAGCAGGGTTCTCAGGCTCACCTAGTAGGGCTCTGGGAACTAAGGCCGGTCCCATACTGGCATTATGTATTCATAGCTAGCTGGCTTCTCCTCACTATTTGGTGGATACTTTGCGTAGGTTCCACACATCCTTTACTATTCTCAAGAAGTTTGTGAAGAGGTATCCTTACTTTCCCCATTAATCCGTTAAGGAAATTGCTATTGGGAGAAGTCAAATCATTGGGATAAATTCAATCCCAGATTCCTCTATCTCTGCTAACTCTCACAGCTTTTCATGCTGCCTCTTGCCTTCTAACGTGACTCATACTTTATCTGCCACACTGTCATTAGAAATGTAGCTTGTGTTTGCTTCTGACCAATTAATCTCCCCAAATTTTAGATCTAAAGTTTAAAGTTCCCTGATAGTATCTACATTTCACTTCATCTCCTTTGAAAAGTAAAATGGTGCGGGGCATGATTGCGCATGCCTGTAGCCTCAGCTCCTCAGGAGGCTGCGGTGAGAGGATTACTTGAGCTCTGAAGTTCAAGACCAGCCTAGGCAACACAGCAAAACCCCACCTCAGACAACCTAAAGCAACAAAAAAAATTTAAATGATATTTGTGTGTGTCAATTATTAAAAAGTTGTACAGACCAGTTAGGCTTCATGGAAAAAAAAACAAAAATAGCACGTTTAAATACTACTGTATTTCCATGCACCATGATTTGGCTACAGCTGTTTTGTGGCTTTTTCAAAGACTTGTGTATTACAGTGTTGGCTGCTCAGTGGAAGGTAACAAAGGTGCTCTTGATGGCTCAGTTCTGATTTTCCAGAAACTGGTGAACTTGTACATGAATATGGCCTTCAAGGCCACTTGACTAAGCTACATTGTGTAGAAAAAGCTCTATTTACCTAAATCACACTGATTTTTTTGTTGGCTTTTCTGAAAGCAAATTGGTTTTCCTGTGGGATTTTTTAAAAAATGTCCATTTCTAACTTTTCTTAAGAGTCTCATAGCAATTCCTGGCTCGGGCAGCCTGCCAGGTGCAGGAGCCTCAGTTTGGGGCATACAGAGAGCAGCTAGGCCAAGCACAGAGGGCCCTAAGCAGACGAGGTGGTTAAGAAGGTCCTAGGATTCTGTGTCCTCCCCTCCCAGGTGAAAACAGCTTCACTCAAGACCCAGTAGGTAATAATACCGCCTTTGCTTTCTCGAGCCATGTACCAGACAGAGCTTCACTATTTTAAAATGTTTGGGTCTGAGGGTGTTTCAGTGTTGGAGCACTCACTTAGCAAGTGTGAGGCCCTGGCTCTGATTTCCAACACTGCACACACGAAAAAGTTTTTAAGAAAAAATTTCTAATTTATTGAAAAACACGTGAGCACAATGAAAAGTTGACATCGTACAAAGTCCCTTTTCTTCCTGGTCATCCCTCCCAAGGCAGCTATTGTTTTCAGTGCATTTTCCAGGAATGTCAGTGGTTATCCAGGTAGTCAGAAATATACATATTCCACCATCTCTCCCTTCATCAAATGTGGTGAATCTATTTTGTGCCTTGCTTTTCCCACTTAACTGTGTGTCTTGGCATCTTTCACTGTTACCACAGACATAGTGGAAAAATACAAAGCCTCCCTATATAAAGACACAGACCATCTCGGACTTAAGACACTTTGACTCACAATATTTTGACTTTGTGATAGTGGAAAGCAATATGCATTCAGTAGAAACTGTACATTGAATTTGGATCCTTTCCCAGACTAGCAATATGTACTACTATAGTCTCTCTTACTATGCTGGGCAACAAGACTGAACTCAAGTTCTCAATCAGCCTCTCAATCACGAGGGTAAACAACTGGCACCCTACAGCGCCACATGTTGCTAAGCAAGGATGCTCAGTAGGCTGAGTGTATGAAATACATTTTTGACTTATAATATTTTCAACTTATAGAGGGTTTTTTGTAAGATAATACTATTGTAAGTTGAGGAGCATCTGGATGCAATTTGTTTAACCGTTTTCCTAATTGTAGATATGGAGCTGTCTCCAGGCTTTTTAAAGCAGTATGGCTGAGCTCTTCGGTGGAGCAAACAATACTTGTATTCATATTTGGGAGTATATCTATAGGATCCGTTATCATATGTGTAATTACTGGATTAAAGAATATGTGCATTTTAATCTTTGAGAGATATTAGCAACTATCCAATTACAGTCTTAGAGTCATAGATGGAAGGGACTTTTGAAATTGTCTAGCCCAGTTTTCATTCTCTCCCAAATGTCCTTAGAGCCCTAGAGATGGCAGTGGCTGCCTTAACTGGGGGTTAGTGAGGAAAGAGGAAGTTAAGAGAAGTGGGAGAAGACAAAGTGAGCTGAACAGTCTCTGTGCGTCTAACTTGGCTTTTGTAAGAGCAGCTTTATAGGATTAGGTTGAATGCTTTGTTTGAGGAAGGAGAAGGAGGTCCTGCTGCTTAGCAGCAGCAGTAGGAAAATAAACACATGCCACTGATCTAATTTACATCTGGGGAACTGTGGCCCAGAGAGCACACCTTGCAAAACCAAGACTACAGCATGAGTCTTTCCACTCTAGGTTGAGGCTTAGCTCCACCATACTGCAGTAGTGGAACTAAGATTGGATGCCTCCTGTTCTAGGGAGCTCACTACCCTGGGGCAGCCTACACCATTGGAGCATTTCCTAGCTTCTGCTTTTGTTTGGCTGGAGTTTTCCTCCTGGAAGTGTTCAGTCTTGCACCCTCACCAGTACTGGTCTTTGGGGAGCAAGGCCTCTCCCTCAGGAGGCTGACAAATATCAGTCACTGATCTCTCAACCAAACGGGCATTCAGATACCCTTGAGTAGATCAGGAATTCCTCTCTGTGGAGACTGAGTCAGGCCACTTGGGGTAGGCCCAGGTATCTGCATGTATGTAGGGCAATACTTCTCAGAATACCTTAGTAAAAGAATAGTTGGTTTGTTTAAATTTCTAATCCATTTTGACTGATAATTTTTGAAATAGATAAAAACATATTATTGGAAAATAAAACTTTATAAACACAAACAAAATGTAAGTTCCCTTTCTCTAAGTTAGATTCAACAGAACTAATATAACTCAAATTGTTACAAAAGTTTCTAAGTGGTGACCCTCAGTTTGTGTTTTTGCCCCAGTATGGAAATGATAACAACTAGTTTGTAGACTGGCACCCATCACGAGTCACCTGTGGCAGGTGATAGTGATATAAATAGTATTATGCTATTTTCAACTCATCACCTTATTAAGGGACGTGGCAGAAAGAGCATTGAGGTAGGAGTCAAGGGCCTATGTTCTGGTCTTGGCTCACTATCTCATTGTCTCCCTCCCGGTGACTCATTTCCTCCCTCTACATCTCCGTTTTCTCATTTATAAAATAGTTGCTAATCTGCCCATTATACTTGGGCATGTGGAGGGCTTGATAAGGTAATGGAATTTTCCCTAGAGACCCAGGGGAACAGAGCCACCCACCAATATCCAAGCACATGCCAGAGAGTACTGTAATTGAATAGACTTACTTTAAGAGAATGGGAGTTTAATAGTGCTAGGAGAGAGCAGGAGATGAGAAGTTAGCTTGGAGGCGTGAGGCACAATTGGGAACGTCTAGAAGCAGCGACACAATACAGAGAGACACTGGCTGATAGGTGGGAAGGGAGGGGAAAGTGTGCTATGGCGGCCGGCTGGGCTGACTATGATTCTAAATGCATGAGAACCTTTCTACCTCTCTTCCTTTGTGAACTGTCAACAACAGTTCTGTCCCTCTCTCTCTCCCTTTCCCCCTCCCTCTCCCTCTCCCCCTCTACCTCCCTCTCCCTCATTCTCTCTCTCATTCTCTCTCTCTCTGTCTCTCCCTCCCTCTACTTCTCCCTCTTCATGTCACTTTCCCTCTCCCGTTCTCTTTCCAGGCCCAGCGCTAGGGATTGAGCCTAGAGCCTTCACACTCAGCTACTTCCTCAGCTTTTCTTTTTCTTTTTCTTTTTTTTTGCATGTCGAGACAGGGTCTCATTAAATCACTGAGTTGCCTAGAGTGAACTTGAACTTGAGATCTTCCTGCCTCAGTCTCCCAAGGTGCTGGGATTACAGATGTTTTCCACTATGTCCAGCCTCTAGTAGAAGTCTTTATCTCTTTCTCCTTGCACTGTACTTTCAAATCCCCTTGGAAAACTTTCCATCTCTTTCCTTAACCCCACATCCCAGCCCCCTGCCTGGCCACTGTCAGTTGGTCCCACAGAGGAGAACACTGAACCGTGAGGGTCAGCTGAAGACAGTGAGGACCAGGAGGCAGCGGAGCATGCCCTAGGGAGAGAGTTATGGGCAACCTTGGTGCTTGGTGCTGAAAATGGGGCAGACGACAGTAAAGAGAAAGATCTGGAAATGTAATACTCCCATGTCAACAGCATGTAATACATTTCATGTGCTCTTTTCCTTTTTTCTTTTTCTCTTAAAGATATGTTTTGTGACCACATTGAAGTCTCTCACCCTGTATAATTTTTCTATATCTTCTGCCAGGAAATTAACTTTTACAAAGTCATTGACTACATCCTGCACGGCAAAGAAGACATCAAAGTAATCCCGTAAGTTTCATCTCAAAACATGCAAAATTACAGGCACAGTACTGAGGTCGTTCCAAGATGAATGATAACGGAACCCATCCTGGCCAGGCCCTAGTAGAGATGGAGAGCAGTAGGAGGCAGTGTGGAATGAGAGACTCCTCCAGGGTGGAAACGAGGCCCCAGAAGAGACTTGATCAAAGCCACAGCATGCTGGATTAGGAATCAGGTCCTGAGTTCCAGCCCTCAGGCGTCTGCCTGGGCCTCAGTTTTGTATTTACAGAATGAGATAGGGGGATCAAACCCAGGACTTCATAGTTTTCTGTGGCACTGCTTCTGGGATCCTGGAAAGCAGCAAAGTAAAAGCAGGAAATTGGCAAAGAAAGGGACTCAGCCCCCACGGAAAGCTTATTTTCTAATGTGCTCAGCAAATGTGACCAAGAAAAATGAGGAAAGGGGAGAGGATGTTTTGAACCCATCTACATGTAGCTGGTACTGAAATACCATTTCAAGAGTTGAACAGTTACAAACCTTTTTAGTATAGGTTTGAACTCTGGTAAGGCAGAGCATTTACAGAAAGCCATGTTGCCTTTTCTGTCTGTTTGAATTCTCGGCTTGTACCAAGAGCCACACCCACATGCAGGTCTTGAGACATGGTTCTCTTTCTCAGTTTAATTGCAGACTCCTTAAGGCTGCAATCAGGCTCTGTGGGAAGTCACACCTTTAGTCTCTTTCCACAGAGCTCTCTCATCCGCCTGTAGGGATTTACTGTAAGTAAATACGGTGCCCTAATCCTCAAACGGTGGGTGTGGTGGGAGACGCTGACTCAACTCTGATCACTGTACTAGATTCTAATACCCCTCTGCCACTCACATAAACAAGTTCTCAGGTTTATCTTTTGCTGGTTGAGGATGAGATGTTGCATCAAGTTCTTCTGTTACTGGATTTCTCTAGTCTTTCCCATTCTCACTTGCGTAAGATTGATTCTTTTCCAAGCTCATCTCTTTTCTTTTTTACCTTGTAAAATGCATACTCTTCAACCATTGTTTTCCAACCTCCTTTCTAGAGCTGCAAGGTTATTAAGCTCATTATGTCTTTCAATGATCATAGGTCAGTTTTCCCCAATGATTTATCACTGCCTGTCAAGCATTACGTCCTGTTAACTGGTTCACACCCACCTTGCTGCCCTTCACCCAGGCCTTATCCGACAACTGTTTTAAGGTTTTTTTTATGGCAGTACTCCATTTCTAATACAGACTTTTGAATCAGGCAGGATAGGCAGATGGTGGTGAAACTATGGCGTGCCGCAGCGGGCTGTTTGTTATCACTGAAAACTCTAACAGGTTCGCCATCACTGGACCAGGCTATGTTGTGTAACAAGACCTTGAGAGCACAGTGGTATGAATAGCAAAGTTTTATTGTACCATCGCATTGTGTGGCCTTTCCAGTTGCTCTGTGTGGTTGGGGCTACTGTGTATGGACTGTGGTCAGGCCAGAACCAAGACTGATAAGGCGGCCACCATTTTGAACACTGCAGAGTGGACTAACATTACCGGAAGGAAAAGAGGACATGGAAAAACACAGTGGCTCATAAGATGTCCATCTGGAGGCAACACACATCACTTTCACTGACATTTCAACGGCCAAAGCGAGTCACGTGGCCGTATACTTTACTTTGAGTGTATAAGGAACACAACCCAGCTGCGTCCCCAGAAGGAAGGACAGTCATCCTTATTTGTATATATCCCTGATGGCTGTCACAGTACATGCCACTCAAACTTAACAGAAGGGAAAAATTAAAGAGTAAATAAATTATTTTTATTTTATTTTATTTATTTTTTTGAGACAGGGTCTTGCTATGCAGTTCAGGCTGGCCTTCAACTCATGACGATCCTCCTGCCTCAGCCTCCTGAGTTGCAGGTGTGCACCACTATGCCTGGCTAGTAAATAAATTAAGGAAGCTCAAATAAATTAAAGAAGCTCAATAAAAATTTAGAAAGAACATAGAGCAGGTGGGAAAAACAGAAAGTGCATGTGAAGATGATATTTAAATCCAAATATATCAATAAATATAAAGTCAACTTAAATATGAGTCAACTAGATGTTCCAGTTAGATAAAAAAGACTGACAGGCTGGACAAGAAAGAAGCCTATCATATGTCACTGACTCTAAGACACACAGTTTTCTACTTTTTGACAGAAGTAGAATAAATGAAACAGAATAAATGATACTATACAATTGCTATCTGCCACATGGCAGACATAATGTAGTTGTCACTGGCTGCCTGAGTGTGAGTTTGGTCATAACCATGTACACTGTTATGATTTCACTTGAGTTAGTGTTGAGCAACCATTTCTGGCTGCTGTCCATCTTGAATCTAATTGCCATATACAGTAATGTAGGAGGTTATGCTATGATGTGGCATTGAAATAAAAATATGTCTTAAATGGCACAGAGACAGGAAAAAGTTTGATATATAATCAAAATCTAGATTGAAATGCTGAAGAACACTGTTCATATGAATAAAGTAAAACTTACTCAGATGAATAAGCAAGGCATGGTAGCATACACAAGTAATCTCAGCATTTGGGAGGCCAAGGCAGGAGGAGTGCTGTGAGTTTAAGGCCAGCCTGGGCTACAAAGTGAGTTTAAGGCCAGCCTGAACTGCATAGCTAACCCTGTCTCAAAAAGAAAAAAAAAAATTACAAGTGATAAAAAGCGTTGCATGCTGGGCACCGTGGAGCACGCCTATAATCCCAGCTCTCAGAAGACTGAGGCAGGAGGATTGCTGCAAGTTCGAGGTCAACCTGTGATACATGCATAGTGAGCTTAAGGCCAGTCTGAACTACATAGAAAGGCCCTGTCTCAGAAAACCAAAAAAAGAAGCATTGTGCTACAGATTAATTGGCAGCATTTTATCTTTGTCAGTCACATAAAATGGTTCATAAAAAATGATCACTTCCTTGAGATGATGAAAAATCATATATCTTGTATATAGGAAATTTAAACTTAGCGGAAAGATAAGAATACAGAGAAGGTATACTATATGAATGCAATTAAAAGAAAATGGGTGCAGTTGTATTACACTTTTTTTTGGTTTTGGTGCTGGGGATGAAACCCAGAGCTTCATGCATGTTAAGCTTATCCTCTACCACTGAGCTACATCTGGTGTAACTACATTAATATCAGATAAAATAGGTGTTACACTAAAGAACCTTAGTAGAGCTAAAGATAGTCACTTCTTAATGATAAAAGGGTCAATCTGCTTTGATGTTACAGGATATTACGATTCTAAATTTGCACATACTTTAAAACCTAAGGAAAAAAAACTAATCAAAATGTAAGGAGAGGGCATGGGATATAGCTCAGCAGCACAAGTGCCTGCCTGGCAAGCGCAAGGTCCTGAGTTCGATTCCCGGTACTGAAAAAAAAAAAAAAAGAGTAAAAAAAATGTAAGGAGATACTCCATAGACAAATCCATGTCCACTAATTGATAGAATGAGAAAAATAAAACAAATACAGTGTAGAATACATCAACCACACAATTTAAAAACGCAACCTAATGAGTATATACAGAAAAATGCTCATTGGGAACATCTAGTAAAGTAGAATAAGCACGTTTCTCCTAACTAACAAATCTACTTCTAGGTACCTACGCTAGAGAAGCTGACGCATTTCACACACAGAAACGTGTGCGTGGATATCCACTGCAGCGGTGCTTGTCATAATAAAAGTAGGAAAATATCTAAATGCCCATCAACAGGGAAACAGAAAAACTAAAAAAGCCATGCAATAAATACTACAAAAGCAGTTAAAGTCACAGATAAACTGCAGAATGCTGGCAAAAAAAAAACTTGTGAAAAGCTATATAAAAAACGATGTCACTTTATATAAAATTTATAAGCCTGTGAAACAAGATTGTGTAATTTTAATAGATATATACATATGTAGTAAAAGTTGAAAAACATGAGCAGACATGATAAGCATTTAATTTGTGAAGCTGGTTCTCTGGTTTGGTGGAATATGATCAGAGATGATATGTAGGGTTTCTCCTCACTTTAATTGTTTTGTTCATTTTTAAAAAAGTAAATAGAACATGCTGTTAATATTGAAAAAAAGAGAAATTATCCCTTGCACACTAAAAAAAAAAAAAAAGAAAAACAAGCTAAAAAGTATAAGTGTTCATCGCCTCCCAAAGCAGGGAATGCTGAGTTTTTCAAGCACACATGCAACCTTTCCAATAACCGGACGTATGCTAGGCCATCAGGCAAACCATAACAAACTTCAGAAGACTGAATTCATACATAGAATGTTTTTGCTCACAATAAAAATGCATAAGACAAAAAACTAATCAGAAAATTCTCTTATACTTGGAAACTAGGAAATATTTTTCTGGGGGAAAAATACACTTCCAACTAATGGATTAAAAAAAACCCAGAAATTCAAAAATATTCTGAGCTGAAAAAATACTACAAAAATATAAAAATATTTTAAAAATATTTTAAAAAATGAAAAATATTTAAAAACCTAGATGATATGGTGAAATTGTGCTTGAAGTGAGATTTACTGCCTTAAATACATTTATTACAAGAAAGGATGAAAGCTGAGAAAGTAATGAGCTAGGTGCCCACCTGTATTAGGCAGGATTCCAACAGAAAGCAGGTGGCACATTCAAATTATGATAATTCAAGGAGGGTCTAATAACAAAGGGATGAATCACAAGGTTGTGGGTGGAGAATGGAACCATAAGTCAATGTGTGGGTAATGGTACAGCTGTTGCCACTTCTGGCTTCAGAACCTGGAAGGGGAGTCCTGCAGGACAGACCACCTCAAGAGGAGCAATGACCTTCAGAAAAGGGCTCTAGCCAGCTCCAAGCAACCTTACAAGGAAGGGCAGGAGGCGGGGTGGGGGGTAGGCAGAGGAACGTAAATAACCTTACTTCACTGTTCTACCTCCTGCCTCTCGGAGTCTTTGGTTAAGTCCCCCAGTGGCCAGATTCAACCAGAAACCAGAAGGCTAGAAAGCCTGTTGATAGTCTACATAGCTGGCCTCCTGGGAAGACTGGGATGGGGGGTAGATCTGGAGGGACAGACAGAATCTATCTACCATGTAACCTCAAAACATCAGAACAAACAAGAAAAAATAAACCCAAAGCCTAGAAGGGAAATAAAAAAAAAGACAAGCTCCTAACTTAGTGAAATCAAAACCAATAAATGATAAACACATGCTAAAAGTTGTTTCTTTGAGGAACAGACCAATAAGATCAATAAATCTCTGATAAGGTTGAGCAAGCAAAATAGAGAGAAAATCAGGATCAAATTAGGATCAAAAAGGGGTGCATAGCTGCAATGATAGAGGCTTTATAAAGGTAATAAGGACTGAGGTATATGTGGCAGAGCACATGCTCAACGTGCACAAGGCCCTGGGTTTGGTTCCCAGCACAGAAAAGGCAAGAGACCTCAGTTCTTCACGTGGGCCTCTACGAAGAGCTATTTGAGTTATCCAAGGACATGGTAATTAAATTCTACAGAGCAGGCAGATGAAGGCTGCAATGAATTTCATGATATATTCTTAAGAATAATATTCTCCTCTACTATATTCTATTGGTCACATAGACCAGTTTTAATTCATTTTTGGAAGAGACTATGTACAAAGGCTACATACAAGGAAGAATTCCAAAGGGCATCTGGGAGACTTCTTACTATAAAGTGTAAAAATTAAGTTCAGGAATGAAATAAGATATTCACAACTCAGGTAATTGACAAAAGACTCAAATCAAGAATCTATAAAGAGCTCTAACAAATCAACAAATGTTATAGAGAAATAAGTAAAAGACATAAGTAAGAAGTTCATGGAAAAGCAATCTAAATGACAGATACATTTCTAGAAAGTGCTCCATTTCATTAAATTTGTAGAAAAATGCAAAAGAAAATCACATTCAGGTATCATTAGACCCCACAGAAGGGCTATAATTTAAGCCCTGACAGATATGGAGCAAAGGAAACTCTCACACACCACTAATGGGAGTGCAAATTGATATAATCACTTTAGAAAGCCATTTGACCTTATCTAGTAAAGTTTAATATATGCATATCTTATGATTTATTATTTCTACTCCTAGGATATACTATAGAGAATTGAGAGCACATAAATATGAAAGTGTTCATAGCAGAACCATTATCTTAGCCCCAAATGGATGAGGGTGGTGTGGGGGGAATGATGGGGGGAGATGTCTGTCAACATTGAATGGATAAATTGTGTTACTGTAACAGGGGGGAAACTAGAAGTCAGTAAAATGAATGAATTGTAGTGACATGAAAAGTAAACCGACAAAATAATATACATTCTATGATTCTATCTAAATGAAGCTGAAAAACAAGCAAAATCAAATTAGAGGGTACAGAAAAACCTACTTGGGTGGTAAAACTCTACAGATAAACAAGAATGTAATTATCATGGTAGAATAATAGTTACTCTGGGGGTTAGGGAGAAGGTTGTGATTGGGAGGACCAGGTCAGGGGCTTCCAAGGTGCTGACAGCACTCTTCTTGGCATGCATGTGGTTTCAGAGGCGTTCATTTCCAATGACTGATGAAGTTTCTAATGTATTTTCAGTGTATGTTTTTCCTCGCAATAAATAAGCAAAAAGTAATAAAACCATATGTGATTTAAGGACAGGGACACATTCCAAGGAATGCACTATTAGGTGCTCTTGTCACTTACAAACACCACAAAGTGTACTTACACAAACTAAGATAGGCGGTGACCTCACTAGGTGGTATAATCTAATGGGGCCATCATCACAAGTGTGGTCTGCTGGCAACCAAAAGATCATTATACAGCACATGACTATAATACCAAAAATTGTGATATTATCTCTAGAAATAAATATGTAAAACACTTAGTTTACAGCTTAGACATGTAGGAGCTCACAACAGATGAGTTTTTCCACTCTATCATCTAAAGCTACTGACTTTTTGAGGGAAGTGTTGATACCTGTTTTTGCTCAGCAGCTAGCGAGCCGTGAAATGCATATTGTCTCTTTTCTTGGAGAGAACTTCACGGACAGTCAGTACACTGTTACGTTCATCACTCTTTCCTTCATCTCGAAATGATCATTAAGGTGGCTGGCCAGCATTTGGGATTGTCAGGTAGAGTGAACGTAAGCCAGTTCTGGGGCCAGCAGAAAGCAGGGAAGGGGCAAAGACCCGCATTTAAATTTTTAGTCTAACAGTTCCTGCTCTGAAAGTCACCATTTATTTTTGGCCTTTACAGGAATCCACCTCCTGACCACTGGGCTTTAGTAAGCGGTCTCCCTACATACGTTGCCCAAAATGGCCTGGTAAGTAACACAACTTGGAAGGGAAAGCTTGAATCAGGTAAAAGAGCGAGAGGATTTCAGATCAAGAAGGTAGAAAACAATGAGGTGAAGAGTGGATCTCTAAAGACTATTTCTCTTGTTTTTCAATGGGCAATTGATGCAAAGAAATGAACAGAGAATTGACATTTGGGCACATACAAAATACAGAGAAATAATCCTTAGATTGAAAGGTTCATGGTCTCACTGACAACTAAAGAAGCTCATATGTGTCAAGGACAGTGACTGGCTAGTTTACCAGCTTCCCAGAGACTAAGTCTCAACCTCTCATACCAAATGTAATTGCCATTCTCAACCTCCCATTCCTGCTGCATTTGCAACCACACCACGTACAGAGAGCTCTAGTACTTTATTTCCCACTATGCACTACCCACTCAGAGTCAAGGATGGAAAGACAGCGTTCCCTGTGCCTGATAAGAGGGCCATATGTATTGACTGTGCATCACCCCCATATTTTGACCTGATACTCCTGTATTCCTTTCCAGGCACACACTACGTATTGCTGTCTATGTAACAAGGTGTTTATTTATTGAGTATTTTCTGTGTGTCAGGCACTGTGATAGGCTCTGAGAATACAAAGGTAGATCAATCAGGGAGTTTTTGCTCTGAAGCTCATAATAATAATAATAATAATAATATATATTCATATATATATATATATATATTCATTCCTTCATAGCCTTGTAGCAGGAACAACATGGGTGTTAGTCACCTTCCCATTACTGAAACAAATACCTGAGATAATCAGCATATAACAGGAAAGATTTGTTTAGACTCACCGTTTTGGAGGTTTCAGTCCATGGTAGTCAGTCTCATTGCTTTGGGGCCTGTGGGAAGTCAGCATGTCACAATGGGAGTACATGGTAGGACAAAACTGCTCACGTCATGATGGCTAGGAAGTGAAAAGGAGAGAAGAAAAGAAGGGGTAGATTCCAGTGTCCCCTTCAAGATCACATCCTCAACAACCAGGAGACTTCCCTGTAGGCCCCACCTCCTAAAGTTTTACCACCTTCCTGTAATGCCAAACTGGTGACCACCTTTTTCAAAACATGGGAGTTTGGGGAAATTCCACATCCAAACTATAACAATAGGCAAATGATATGGATGAAGGTTTGGAACAGCACACTCTGTGCAGTTTAGTCTTGTTGAAGTGTTACGCTGAAGACAGGAAGACAACAAAAGAGACGACTCGTGAGGAAGGAAGGGGTCAGATCACAATAGGCTTTGGATTCCATGGCAAGGTGGTGGGACTTTAATCTACAGATGATGGACTTTTCTTTTTTTTTGTACCGGAAATTGAACTCAGGACCTTGCACTTGCCAGGCAGGCACTTGTGCCTCTGAGCTATTGCCCCCACCCTAGATGATGGACTTTTAAGCAGAAGGTTGGCATAATCAATTTTCATTTTAGAGGATACTGCTGGCAGCTCCACGGAAAATGGACTTGAAAAACTAGGACCAGAGGCAGAGTGGCCAGTGTGTAGTTGAAACAGGAAATGAGGGAAATCTCAACAAAGGCAGGTGCAGGAAAGAATACTGTCACTACTGCCAAAGGCCACTGAGGGCTCATGACACAGCATTAAGTAAAAGCACTCTTTAATACAACTCCAATAGAGACAATGGAAAAATGATAAGGAATCAAATCTAATATTGAGAGGGTAAAACTGGCAGGACTTTGTGATTGATCATAAGTAGACAGGGGCAATAAAATTAATTTTAAAAATTAAGTAGATGGGGAAAGCAGAAGAGTCAAAGTTAATTTCAAGCTTTTAGCCTGGCTGGGTCATGCTGCCCTCAGTTTTTGATATAAGAGCATGAGGTCAATTTTAGACGAGGTGAGATAGAGACATTTTTCAGGAGCAAATATCCAGCAGGTAGACGAAGAAACAATTCTGATGCCATGGGGAAGGAGGAGGGTTAGAGATGAGATTAAGAAGCTATGTGGACCAGACTGATGGTCTTGGAAACCATGAGGGCTGATGAAGTCACCCAGGAACAATGTGAAGGGCAGAAGGCCAAGGGTGAAACACTGGAAGATGTTACTTTTGCCGGGCGTGGTGGCGCACGCCTGTAATCCCAGCACTCCGAAGGCTGAGGCAGGAGGATTGTTGCGAGTTCGAGGCCAGCCTGGGCTACAAAGTGAATTCAAGGCCAGCCTGAACTGCATAGCAAGACCCTGTCTCAAAAAGAAAAAAAAAAAAGAAGATGTCACTTTGTCCTAGCAGGTAGGTAGATAGGAGTATGTGACAGGAAAACAGAGAGGTTCAGAGGTGTTTGGAGGAAACCAAGGACATAGAAAGTTTCGACAAAGAGAGACCAAGTGCAGCACAGTGAACTGGCATGACCCCTGGGGTTTGGCAATTAACAGGTCATTGGTGGTCCTGATGAAAGCAGATTTGGTGGCAAAGTGGAGGTCCATTAAGGAATGGATAGGTGATGGCGAGGAAAAGAATGTAGAAGAAGACTGCCTGCCTGGACGGTTGCTACGGTGACCGTGTCACAGGAAGGAGGGATTTCATTTTCAAGGATGGGAGAGACTTAAGAATGCACAAAGCTGAGAGATCAGCAGTCAGGAGGGAATGAAGACAACTGGTGGACTTGGTCCATACAGAGGCCGAAAGGCTTGGCATCTGGGGGCCATTCCCAGACAAGGGCAGGGACAGCGCCCCTTCTGAGACCTGGCGGTTCATTCTCATGTTGGAAACCAGGGTTGCTGCAAGCCCGTGTGGTGGCTTTTTGAGAGTTAAATGAAGGCTTCCTTCTCAGCAATAACTGGAGTGAGGTCAGAGGTATGGCTCAGCAAGCAGCACAGAGGCTGGACTTAGTTCCCAGTCCCCTCTCAAACAAATGCCTACGTGCAGTACACACACAGCTGCACGTGCTGTCTCCACTGGCAAAGCTCTGGAGGGATCCGATAAGCGTCATCTGATCCCTTGCATAGAACAGTAAACTGGTCCAATTTTCAGGAGAAAAATCTGGCAACGTACAGCCAGAGTTACAACAACTTTCATTTCTTATTCTACTTTGGGGTTTATACTCCAAGGAAAAAAACTTTCCTACACACACACACACACACACACACACACACACAGCGTAACTGAGTCAAAGATGTTTAAAGTAGCATTATTTGTAGCAGTTTAAAAAATAATTCAGGGGGCTGGGCATGGTGGGGCAAGCCTGTAATCCCAGCATTCCGGAGGTTGAGGTAGAAGGATCATTGCAAGTTCAAGGTCAGCCTGGGGCTACAAAGTGAGCTCAAGGCCAGCCTGAACTGCATACTGAGACCCTGTCTCACAAAAAAAATAAAAAAATAATAAAAAAATAAAAATCAGGGGTGTAGCTCAGTAGTAGAACACTTGCCTAGCATCCCTGAGTTCCATCCCCAGCACCAAAACAAGCAAGCAAACAAACAAACAACAAAATAACTTTGTTATTTTTTGGGGGAAGGGGTTTCCGGTACCAGGAATCAAACTCATGACCTGGTGCTTACCAGGCAGGCACTGTGCCACGGAGTTAAATCCCCAGCCCCTACAAACAACAAAATAAAACAAAAACAAAAAACCTTGAATACAACACAAATACTCAACAAAAAAGAAACAACAAAATCGGATACTATGCAGCTATTAATAATGAACCTGCACTCTTAACTTTTTCAAGGCTTAGAAATGCCTTCAGAGTGGAGCAAAGAATCAGAAGTAGTATTTGTAGGATGATTTCTTTACCTAGTAAACTCAGTGGATAACCTCAGTGGATAACCTCAAATGACCTGGAGTTTGTCTACCTATGAAAAGAGTATGAGTGCCTTGGGCAAGGACATGCGTTTCTGAAAATGGTTTTTGTCGTTTCCCTGGGGACACTCTCAGGTCTAACCACACCTCCATTGTTCCCCTTCATGGCTTTCAGATTTGCAATATCATGAATGCAGCTGCGGAGGACTTTTTTGCATTTCAGGTGAGTCATTTTTTATTTGTTCTCTTAGTTATATGATTTTTTTTTTCTTTAGAAAAAGCATTAGAACACATTAGAATCCACTCACTTTCTTGGGAAGCAATCTGAATAAAATGAAAACATTAGTGGAGAAAAGCCATGTGCCAGTGGAGGTGGGATAGAGTTAACTGGGCAGTTTCCAAGGTCTCATTCAGGTTGTTTTGGTCCTGGGAATCGAACTCAGGACCTCGCGCTTGCCAGGGAGGCACTGCACCCCTGAGCTCCAGCCCCGATGGTCCCCTTCAGTTTTAACACTCATACCCTTTGCTTTCTGGTCTCAAGACCTTTGCTTATGTTCTTCCCTCCACAACCATCATCTTCTGTCTAAATCTCTCTGCCTTTCATTAGCAACCTCAAATGCTATCACTCCACAAGTTACATTGTGACTTTCCTGATAATGTTCATGGAATATAGTTTAATATTTCATTAGATTTTATCTCTTCTTCTTTTTTTAATAACAAATGTTTATGGAGGACACTCTCTGGGCCAGGCTTTGGTATGGTATTACAGCAACTATCATAGCAGACAAGATAAGCATTGACTTGTCTTTCCAGGGCTCAGGAGAGACACACAAACTGGTGGTCTGCAGAAGGGAGAGGAGGGAGAGGAACTTTTTCAGGGGGAGCTATTCTGGTTTGGGGGAATCAAGGAAATTATGTCTGGTGGAAGGGAGGGGAGAAGAGATGCCTAACCAGAAAGTACTAGCGTAGGTCAGCCAGTCTTGAGACCTAAGGAGAGTGGCAGGAGGCTGTAGAGAGACAGACAACAGCACAGGTGATGCAGGGCCTGCCAGCGGGGCATGCCAAAGGGTGTTCTCCTTACTACTCCCTTAACATCTTCTGTTACCCTTCCTTCTCTTTACACTAATTTTTCTCGGTAAAATACTGGCTTTCTTTGATGGAAAGTTGAGTGTTTAATCTTTTTTAGCTCTAGATACCCTAGCAATATGTGTTGAGTTTAGCATGCTAATGTTTAGCAAATCATTAGCAATCTGAAAAGATAAGGAAATAAAAATGACTCATTAGGAGAACCAGTGAATTGCTAATTTTTTTTTACCTTAAAGAACATTATCAAAGGGTTTAAAATGATATACTTCCAAAATTATGATGGCACTGCCTGTTTTGTGATTTTTGATCACATCAATGTGGCAAGCTTCAAGAGCTGCTAACCTGGTCATAACCAGCACTCAGTCTTTACCCAAGCCATCTGATTGTACTTTAACAGTGTTAGTAAAGCAAATGTAATCTTTAGATTCTAATCCTCTCCTCCAACTCCTCCTCCACAAAGGAGCCAGAGTGGTTTTTTTGAAAGGATAAATTGGATCAATGAATTTCCTTCCTTAATAATCTTGACTGGTGTATCAGTCAGGGTTTTACTGGAGAAACAGATATAACACAAGATGTACAAATGTATAAGAAATTATAAGATTGGCTTACGATGGTCAGCCAGAGTTGTATGAGGAAGCATTCAGAGGGTGTCTGCACACTGAAGACCGAAGGAATCAATCCAGGGTCTGGAGTTCACTGCAGAGCTCCGTGCAAGTCTGTACCAGGAGGCCGATGAGTCTGCAGCAGAAGGCTGAAGAATCCAAGGCAGAAGCCAAAGAGTCTGCACTAGAAGCCAGGAGACGAAGTCCAAGCCGAAGGTGAAGACTGGAGCTCCTCCAAATGGAATGGAAGTTCATCTGGCCTTCCTCATTTCCCTTTTATATCATCTAGGTGATGATCCACCCTACGGTGGCTCCTCTGTACCCTAGGGTGGCTCCTCTACCCCCAAGGGAGTAGAATTGCTGAGCCAATTGCTGAGTCAAGTTTAGTTAAGCTTCTAAACTTCTCAAGTTGACATAATCAATCAACCACTACAACTGGTATTTGATTTCACTTTCTCTGTATTCTGACCTTCAGAAGGAGAGGACTACCTGACGGTTCAGTGGAGAGCTTGGGGGATGACAGGCCTTAGGTTCATCATCCTGTACTCTTTGGGCTGTACAGTATGCATCAGGACACTCCCACCAGGTGCTATGACAGCATATTAAAGTGCTATAATAACTACCATCTTACCACTCTAAGAATCTGGAAATTTCAGAACAGAAGGACACTTACTTCCAAAAGCCTTCCTTGACTTCCTTCTCCCTTCCAGCTCCAAAAGTACCAAAAAGAGAACTCAGACATCTGCAGTGTAATTGTTGGTTCACTTTATGGATTATAAACACTCTGAGGACAATCTGTGCCTTGTTTGTCTTGGTTTTCTCAGATGGTAGCTTAGTTTTCCTATGCACTATAAATGTTGACGAATCAGTGGAAGAGTTGTGTCAATTTTATGATAAAAGCGGGGCTCAGACAGATGGGAAATGACCCACAAAGCATCTTATAATTGACTGAGAGCCTCATTTCTTTATTGAATCAATTAATTTCCCTCTTTAAAAGTCACTAGTGGTATCCTCTTTCAGTTTCTCTTTATCATGACCTTCACAATGAAAGGAGAGAGCCTTGAGGGCCATAGGCCAAGGAGATAAATAGTATGCCAAAAGTAACACAAAGGCAGGTCAAAGGTAAAAAGTGCAGGATCTATCTAAGTGATTAATTCAAAGTTATGAGAACCACCAGCATTGCCTTTTGGAGCCAGCAATTTAGCTGTGGTTATCTCCAATACATGAAAGAGAACCACTACCTCCCTGGGGTGTGTCTACTCATCATTATAGCTCCCAGGACGTAGCATACTGCTGTCACACACTAGCCTGACGTCTTAGGGATGGACACAGTATCATTACCTGGCTTACAGAACTGTTTGCTCATGGTCTTTGTGCATGACTAAAACCATGCAAAATGCAACTGACTCCATCTTCTTCCTCCCTCGCAGCCAGTGAATAAAAATCATGTCACAGCAGTCTGTGCAGCCTGGAGCCAGAGGAAACCTAAAGTCTGTTGCTTCTCTTATAGAAAGAGCCACTGGATGAGTCTGGATGGATGATCAAAAATGTCCTGTCAATGCCCATTGTAAACAAGAAGGAAGAAATCGTTGGGGTGGCCACGTTTTACAATCGCAAGGATGGGAAACCCTTTGATGAAATGGATGAGACCCTCATGGAGGTTTGCTGTGTGGGAGGTCCCTTGCTGTGAGGACTCAGAGTCCACTTGTTGCCCTGTTTAGCTTCCCTAGCTGTGCAGTGGGACCCTGGTGTGTAGCTGCCCAGCCACGTGGGGGGACGGGCACCACCTTGTTGGTGCAATCCTGACACAGCCTTCGCCATTTCTTTGCCCTCCTTCCCCACTGCCACATGTTGTCAGAGAAATCCACAATCCCCCTTTAAAAAATATAATGAACAAACTTCATTTTTAGAAGAAGTTTTAGATTTACAGCAAAACTGAGAGCCAATTACAGAGTTCCTACCTAGTCCCTGCCCCTACAGGCAAAGAATGTCTTTAAAAGTTGGCTGGGTGTGGTGGCGTATGCTTTCCATACAAGCACAGGAGGCTGAGGCAGGTGGTTCACTGTGAGTTCGAGGGCAGCCTGAAGTACATAGCTAGCCCTGTCTCAAACAAAAAAAAAAAGTTCTTATGTGTAAGAAGAAGGCTCAGTGTGTGTTAGTTCTTAATTTAGAGACCACTCCCACCTACATTATTTTATCTCGTCCTCACAACACCTCTGAGTGATGGGCAGCACATAGCTTAGACAGCCTTGCCTGGAGTCAGCATCAAACCTGATTCTTCCTTTCTTTCCAGTCTTTGACTCAATTCCTGGGATGGTCTGTCTTAAATCCTGACACCTATGAATCCATGAACAGACTTGAAAATAGGAAAGATATTTTCCAGGACATTGTGAAATATCACGTGAAGTGTGATAATGAAGAAATTCAGAAAATCCTGGTGCGTAGCATTCTTGTTTCCACTGTCACAGAGATTGTGCCTGGAGATCAGGCAAGACCTGAAGTCCAGGAGGGCACAGTTGGATATGGGTTTTCTTGGTCATATCCTTCTACTTAGCACAGAGCTATGGTGGCCTTTAGAGATGGATGGATGGATGGATGGATGGATGGATGGATGGATAAGTGCTAGAGCACAGCGCATACCAACTGCTTGATTTGGACTCAGGACAGGTAACCCTTGCAGGTCACCTCGGTCCTAGAAACGTCACTTTCCTCTATGACCAGGACTAACTTGGTAGTGGAGACAAAGTCAACCAAGTGTAGCCCTTACTCTGAGAGGAAGCTTTATCAAGCAAATAAATGGCCATGGCCTATTTCTCAGAGCCTCCCTCTTATGGGTTCAGCTCACTTTGAAGACCCAAGCAAGTCACAGAAAAGTTTGATGAACAAAGAAGCAGTACAGAAGGAGCAGGGAACCCTGACATAGTTTAGAGTTTATAAGGCAAATTCACATTTATGATACTGTCTGGTGCCTATAAGCAATAGTTCAGGAGGTTGAACAAAGTAAAAATTTCTGTCCTCAATATAGATGAAGGACAAAGGGGGAAAGAACTTCTTTCCAAATCACCTAGCTTCAGAATAGGTCTTGATTGACTATAGTTATGACTACCATTCTTCCGAGTGGACTTTTCAAGAGGTGTGACGTTATCCACATGGAAGCAGGCTGCCCAGGGATGCTAGAGTGGAACATCCTTCCTCCTACTGTGGAACATCCTTCCTGGGGTGGGATTGGCTTTGATACTTTGAAGAATATGTGAGAATCAGTGATTCATTATTCTCAGGGTCTTGGTCTTAAGGGAACCAAGATCTTAGAAGTCAGCTGAGTTAGCTAAGTGGCATTGGATAGGATGCCTAGCTGAAATCCCAAGACATTGGCTTATAGGCCTCACAAGTTGAACCATAGAAGCCAGTATTCTCAGAGCCAATTCCTTTTGTTTTTCCAGTACTGGGAATTGAACTCAGAGCCTTCACAGTGAGTTATATCCCAGTCCCTTTTAAAAGGTCTTTTTATTTGTTTGTTTGATTTTTGAAGACAGGGTCTTGCTAAATCATTAAGTTGCCTAGGCTGCGCTTAAACTTGACTTTTTTTTTGTATGAGGAATCAAATTCAGTATCTTGCACTTGCCAGGCAGTTGCTTGTGCTACTAAGCTATATCCCCAGCCCTTGAACTTGAGATCTTCCTTCCTCAGCCTCCCAGAGTACTGAGATCACAGGTGTGTGCCACCATCTCGGGCTTCAGAAGCTATCCCTACCCTGGGAAGAAACTCCAATAAATTGATCAAATCATCCCAATAACTTGGAAATTCAGAGGTGAAAACATCTACTTTAGATGAAATGCCTCAGTTTGCTTGACTCAGTCCAGAATTTCAGCCAAGTTAGGAATATGTGGACCCTGGGAGACATAAGCATAATAAACCAGTTGAAAGTTAACAGTTTGCTTTGGGTCATGAAATCAGAAACAAAGTAACAGGATCTATGGTCTCTCTCCTCCTGCCCATTGGAAAATAGGTCTAGAAAGAGAGGGAACTTGACTCTAGCAACACAGGAAATGAGGGAAAGAACTGGACCATGGCTGAAGCCTCTTCACTCCCACTCAACAGTAACAGTAAAAAGTCAGCATTATTTTAGTGCTCACAAGTAACGTGCCAAGTACTTTACATGCCTTATTTGACTTAGCTGTACATACTCTGTTTAAAAATGATCGCACAATCAAATTTTTACTCAGTAGCTGAGGACTTTGATTAGTCCCATTTTACAAATGGGAAAACTGAAGTTCGGAGGCACTCAGTGACACTGCTAGGAAGTGGCAGAGTTGGCATTTGAATGCAGGTCTCCATGGCTCTGAGGCCCACCACTCTGAATCTGCTGATTCATGAATGTTGAATGTCAGCCTCTCTCAGTGGGTGTTCTGTTCTAAGGACTCTGGAGGAAGAAGAAAAGTGGAAACGGAAATGGGAAAGCGCAGGCAGCTTTGGGCTCACAACGTGATAACCTGTTTCTTTTTCTCCCAATTTCTGCCGTGGCAGAAAACCAGAGAGGTGTATGGGAAGGAGCCATGGGAATGCGAGGAAGAGGAACTGGCAGAGATCCTGGTGAGCGGCACCGGCTCTGACGGGTCAGCTGCGTGGGGTGCGTGGGTGTCTCTTTAAAGCATGCGCCCCCACTGCTCAGATCTGCCCAGCAGACCCGGCTCGGGGGCAGAACTGGTGGTAGTAGGGGGAGGACCAGAAACACTTGAAGTCCCTAATCATTGACTCGATTCCTTATACAGCAAGGGGAGCTGCCAGATGCAGACAAATATGAAATTAATAAGTTCCACTTCAGTGACTTGCCCCTCACGGAGCTGGAGCTGGTGAAATGTGGGATACAGATGTATTATGAACTCAAAGTGGTGGATAAATTTCACATTCCACAAGAGGTGAGGTCAAGCAGATGTCTTTGATCTTCCTTTTTGTCTGTCTTTCTTCCTTTCTTCCTTCCTTCCTCCCTCCCTCCCTCCCTCCCTCTCCCTCTCTCTCCTACTCTCCTTCTACTCCGTATGTACACTTCCATAAAAAGAGTGCACAATAAGCATTTGGGATGTAAAGCACTGCCAAGTTCCACAGCTGAGTCCTCAGTCAGAAAGGAGACACCCTGTCTCTCACAGCTGCAGAGTTTCAGGTGCTTTTGCTTCTTCCAGTGGGTTCTGAGGCACAGATGCTGAGGCTGTGAATAAATAGATGGTGAACTCAGGTGGGAAATATGCTCCATTCAAATAGGGCTCTTTTCCTCAGAAAACACATTCCTGTTGAATTTGTATTGTGAGTCTAAGGGCGTGGGAAACAGGAATAGGGGGGTATGTAGTGCGTGGAATTTCCCTGACTTTAACCACCTGAGAACTTATGAAAGTTATAAACACACACACACACACACACACACACACACACACACACACATCCACCCCCTGGCTGTAATGAATCAAAGTATTTTAACAAGCCCTCCTGGTGATTCTGGTGCACTCAGGTCTGAGAACCGCAGGATTAGGAACCCTTGTGTTTTCTGCCCATGTAAAGCACCTGTGAGCTTCACCCAAGTCAGTTGCTCCGGGCACAATTTGGGAATCACCGGTGAAGCTCAATCAATGGCATAAGCGCAATGACTCAGGCTTATCTTATTCCCTCACATTGTCTTCACAGCACCGAACAGTTTGCAAAATGCCTTTGTAACGTTTCCGCATCCATTGCTAGTTCCCACCTCATCGCCTCACTGACTTGCCCATGTTTGCAGGCCCTGGTGCGGTTCATGTACTCCCTGAGCAAAGGCTACCGCAGGATCACCTACCACAACTGGCGGCATGGCTTCAACGTGGGCCAGACCATGTTCTCCTTGCTGGTGGTATGTGAGCAGACCTGGCTGGCGGGGTTGGGGAGCTTGGGCCACATGGGCAGTCTCATGCAGACTCCACAAGGCAGAAGCAGCATTGCTGTTCTTTATTTATTGCCTTTTAAGAACTTCGAAAGCAATACCCACATGAGGGAATTCTAAGAAAAGAGAAGCATATCACATAAAAAGCAAAAGGAAGCTGCAGATTACTGCAACCCCAAACTGGTTATGATTATTCAAGATAACCATGGCACAAGTCGTTCCAAATTTTCTTTTTGTATACACACACAGAAACATACATACCATTTATTCTGTCTATAGGCAATGGAATAATATTATTCTGTAATATGTTTTTCATTTGAAAGTGTTATCATTTTCTTCTATTTATGTATACATAAATATATCAGTCATTATTTCATTATATGTACACACATATAAAACACTTATATGTTTATATATTATATATACAGCATGATATATTTACATGTTACATATAAAACATAGAATTTATCATTTTAATTATTTTTCTATGTACAATTTAATGGCTTTAAGTACAGTCACAATATTTGCAACTTTCACCACTATCTCTAGAATTTTTTTTTATCATTTCAAACAAAAACTGCTCCCATTAAATAGTAACTCCAATTCTTCCTAGCTTACAGTTCCTGGTAGCCACTATTTTATGTCCTATTTCTATGAATTTGGCTACTCTTTTTTTTTTTTTTTTTTTGCCTTTTTGAGACAGGGTCTTGCTACGCAGTTCAGGCTAGCTTTAAGCTTACTTTGTAGCCCAGGCTGGTCTCGAACTTGCAGTGATCTTCCTGCCTCAGCCTCTTGAGTGCTGGGATTACAGGCACGTACCACCACCAGCCGTGCGCCACCACCAGCCATGCGCCACCATCAGCCGACTTCTTGGCTACTCTTAGATAGCTCATGTAAGTGGAATCATATAGTATTTGGATTTTTGTTCCTGGCTTACTTTACTTAATCTGGGTTCAAGGTTCATCCCTGTTATGATTTTATGACTACATAGTAGGTGATCCCTTGGTATCTGTGAGTGATTTATTCTAGGATCTCCTGCCCTGTGGACTGAAAGAACGCTTTTGTTTTCCTTTCCTATAAAGTACCTGCTGGTTTTGTGGGTGTTCAACTTCCTTATATAAAATGATGTAATATTTGCTTGCAACCTGTGGAAAGTGTTCTATATCTTTGAACTATCTCTAGAGTATATATAGGACCTAACACAATGGAAATATATGTAAATAGTTATTATACAATACAATTTAGGAATAACGACAAGAAAAAAGTCTATACATGTTCAGTACAGATGCAATTTAAAAAAATTTTTTTGACTCATAGTTGCTTGCATTCAGACATGGAACACACGGATACAGAGACGTGACTGTATTCTGTTATTTAACTGTACCATAATTTCTTTACCCAGAACTCTATTGTTGGATGGAGAGGCCATTTTCCATCTTTCATTCTGTCAAACAGAGTACTCTCGGATAGACATATCTTTGTGTATTTGTGTCAGTACTTTTGGCTCAGAGGGTTCAGAGCCCTTGATCTTTCATTGTAAAGTGTTTTCCCATGAAAATCAGGACAAAAGTCTCTTCTCTGGCTCTGGCTCCCTGCTTCATTCCTTTCCCTTCAGGCCAGAGCCAGCACTAGTGACTGGAGGCTAGAATTCTGGCCAGGCCACTAGAAGGCAACAAGGACTACACTTAGATTTGGTTTATTTCTTGGGTCAGCATCAGCCCTCCAGAGCTCTTCTCCACCCTGTGCTGCATAAATAAGGGTTGAACACATGAAGAAGTCCTGGGGAAAAGTTCCTCTGGGATGTGCCTCAACCGGCAGACCAGGTTGGGAAGGTTCGTTCTACCAGTCTGCTCATGTTCGAAGCTTTCCGAAGCTTGACACCTGATGGCTGCAAGTTTTTCAAAGATCATCTAGTCCAACAACTTCCACCTGCAGTGTGCATACCAGAACACTGAAGACCAGAGGGGCATGAGCCCAGCTAAGGTCACTAGGACTAGGGCAACCAGCTGCCCCAGTTTGCCTGGAACTGTCCTTGGTCTAGTATTGAAAATCCCACATCCTGGAAAACTCCCCGCCCTGGAGTAGATCTCTGGTCACCCTGTGGAACTAGGGATAGAGCGAGATCAGACACACATTCCCAAACTCCAGGCTTTCTTCCCTCCACTTGCCCTCTCAGCCCTGCTCCCAGTCCTCTCAAAATAGGAGTGACTTCTTCCTCTGATCACTTTTGCAGACAGGAAAGCTAAAGCGATACTTCACTGACCTGGAGGCCTTGGCCATGGTTACTGCTGCCTTCTGTCATGACATTGACCACAGAGGCACCAACAACCTCTACCAGATGAAGTGAGTCAGCCCTTCCTGCCTCTCCCACCCTCCCCTCACCCTGTTCTCCCAAGATTCATTATCCAGGTCTCTAAGGTCCCCCAGGACTGACGAGTCAAGGGAAAGTCCCCCTGTGCACAGCTTCCCACTTCTTCCTGCCCTTGGGACCTGGGTCCAGGCCTATGGTAGACAGGAAGATGACCTCCCAAAGATGATCAAATCTCCAACACCAGAGCCTGAGGATATGTTGTCTTACATTCAAAAGGGATTTTGCAGATATGATTAAGGAGCCTGAGATATAGGAATGACCCAGGTGAGCCCCTTGTGGACAGAAGGGTCCTTGTAAGGAGGCAGGAAGTCACATAGGAGAGAAAATGCAACCCTTGTGGCTTAGAAGTTGGAGGAAGTAGCTACAAACAAGCAATGCCAGTGGCCACCGGAAACTGGGAAAGGGAAGGAAATAGACCTCTTTTGAGCCTCCACAAAGCAGGCAACCCTGTGGACTGGATTCTGAACTCCAGATCTGTTGGGCAATACAATATGTTTAGTCATGAAGTCTATGGACGTTCGTGATAGCACAGCAGGAAACCAATAATTCAACTCCTTCACTCTTTCCTTCCCTGTGCTACCTGATGAATTAGTTTGAGCTGTGATGTCAGTAACTAATACCAGGCATTCATTCGCCTTGTAGTATTTGTAATGCCACTCATAGGATGTGGTAGGCTCCGAGCTAGCGAAAGAGGTTACCACAGTGAGCAACGCAGGCAGTTCCTGTCCCCCTAGAGCTGGTATGCCAGTCAGCCTGTGAAGCCCAGTCCTTAAACCACGATCTTGTTGTATCCTCACGGTCGTCCTGGGGTAGAGCAGGCTGGGTAGAACAGGGACCGGCCATCTCCGTGTAATAAAGGAAGAAACTGAGAATTTGCTCAGAGCCAACAGACTAAATCATTAATGAGTACCAGAATTCATGTTTCTCTGAGTTTTCCTGACAGTCCCAGACTGCACATAGACTAGAGACTGTTTACATTTTACACTGGAGACCTAAGCACTGAGCACAGTGCTTGGGACATAGTGAGTGTTCAATCAACATTTTTTAAATGAAAAAAGAAATTAATGCACTGCTTGTAAGAATTCAGTGACTACGGGGGATCCAGAAATCTCTAAAACGACATCTTTTTCTGGGGGTGATTGTCCACACGGCTCATCGGAGTCTCTAAGAGTCTATGCCCAGAATCGCTTATGGAGGAAAAGCCAAGGACTCAGCCAGAAGACGTGAGGTCTAGTCTTCTTTTTTCATTGTCTCACTGTTTGGCCTTGCGCAGGATCTTTCTCATTCCTAGACATCAGTTTCCTTGCCTACAGAATTAGGAGGCAGCAAGGCTGGCTAATAAAGTCTTTAACCTCCACCTTACCCATTCCATATTGATTCTCTCTCTTATTTAGATCCCAGAACCCACTGGCAAAGCTCCATGGTTCCTCCATCTTGGAAAGACACCATTTGGAATTCGGCAAAACCCTGCTGAGAGATGAGGTAGGATGAGGCCCTCTGCACTGGCCTTAGGACATGGATCGGGATCCCCATGTCAAAGGATGCTTGAGTGTCCCCAGGCAGACTTCTGTCCTTTGGCCTGAGCTGCCATTCTCTTCCCTCATCTCAGGTGGGCATGTGGGAGGAAGTGGCTTTCCTGCCAGCACAGTTTCTCATGTCCCTCCTCTGGTTTTCTCTTTAGAGCCTGAATATCTTTCAAAACCTCAATCGCCGCCAGCATGAGCATGCAATCCACATGATGGACATTGCAATCATCGCCACTGACCTTGCTCTGTATTTCAAGTTGGTATTTCTTCTCATTTTAATAGTAATGTGACTGTAATAATGACACACAGTGCTAACTGATTTTTCTTATGAACCGGGCCCAACTCTACAGCTCTGGGTATTACATTATTTCCATTCTCCAGCTGGGAAAACTGAGGACCAGGGCAAGAGATTGCTAAAATCAGATTGTAAATCAAAGGCAGACTCTGGGTTAGAACCTAGGTCTTCAGTCGTGGGCGATGGTTCTTTTTAAATTTGCTTGGCTAATTAAATTTAATAAGCCTCCATCTGAAATAGCCAATATCAGCAGCCTAGGTGTTGCCTTGTTTTGAGACTTGCTTCCTTTAACAAAGGTGTGTTTTTGTGTTTGGTAGGAAGAGGACAATGTTCCAGAAAATTGTGGATCAGTCAAAGACATATGAGAACACACAAGAGTGGACCCAGTACATGATGTTGGAGCAGACGAGGAAGGAAATCGTTATGTGAGTTGTGGCGTTAACTCCTGACCGTTATCGGCCGGGTGGTGAGGTGGGAGGCTGCCTGATAATCCTTGCTATCTCAGCACAGCCTGGGACACTTGCCCTATGAGAGCTGTCCACATGGGACAGATGAAGTTCTGCCCCAGCTGCATGGCACGAGTTATCATATATCTTTGATCTTTATTTTAGCACACAAAAATAAGACAATATTTCTGTTTTCTTTTTCTGTACACAGAAAGTATAATATGTCAGGCCTATCAATTATAAAATCTATGATTTAGCTGATAAAGTAATATGTTTCACATTTTTTATAAAACCCAAAACATTACACCAATGAAGAGTTGAGTGATACCTATTTATCGCTCAAAATATATAGGCTTGGAATGAGGGTGTAACTGAGAAGCAGAGAGCTTGATTAGCATGCATGAGGCTCCAGGTTTTATTTCCCGTACAAATATACATATATATGAATGACAAATATACATATATATGAATGACATGGGTTAGTCTTTTTCTTGAATTGCATTAACATTTACTAAGGAAACTGGCTCTTTTTCTGTCAAAAGTGCTGCAAATATTTTTCCTCAGCCTATAACTTACATTCTAACTTCAGTTTTGGAAGTATAAATATACATATATATGTATATGTACAAATATACATATATATGAATGACATGGGCTTAACATTTTAGCTTTTCCTTTATATGACAGTGCCCTGCAATATTAGTTGTGCTATTCACAAATTAGCTATATGATTTATGTGAACTTTATAGTGTGTGCATAGCTGGCAGTGGAATCTAAAACAAGGATTCAAACTGAAGTTGACTGGTAAGTATTTCCCCTTAGTTCACTCAGTGTGTTTCCATGATTCAGTTCAATTGGTGAGAGGGTGAGAAGTGTCAACTTGAGGCCTTTTGTGACTATGTGGTCTATGCCAAACGGCGCTTGCTTCTCTGCGATGGTCCTAGGCTGTGATGGCCAGGAAGGGTCTCAAGGAAGGACAAGCCCTGACCTGGATCTAAAGGAAGCATCAGGCTGTTTGTTTATTCCTAGATACTTCTATGAAAATGAGCTGTACTTAAGTTACAAGAATTGCAAAGCTCTGCAAGCTAGAAGAGGCAGCCCCTGGGATAGGGAAAGGGGACAAAGAGCAAGTTGCTTCTTCTTCAGCTCTGCAGTTATCCAGCCAGGCCTGGTCTTGGGGAGCAGTGTGACCCATTCCGACTGACCAAGGGAGCACACTCCGGTGGTGGCTGCTCCCAGGAAAACCAGGAGCTGCCCCACCAGACCTTTAGAAATGGCATGGCCGAAGGCACATAGGTGGAAAGAATACACTGTTATTGGTTGAAGAGGGTTTAAGACTAGAAAGTTGCCTATTCTCCATAATTAACTCTATTCATTTAAAGTAAATACAACAAAAATCACTTCATTTTGGAAGAAATGAGAAGTCAATTCCAAAAGTCTTATGAGAATTAAGTATGCAAGAACAGCCAGAAAATTCTGAAATAGAGGATTAATAAGGCAGTTCAATCCTAGGCATGCATAGATGACCAAGTCAGTGGGACAGACTTAAAGGACATGTATGCATTAAGGTAGAGTTTAGATTTTAGATGACTGGATGAAGGGTTAAGTGCATAAATGGTATTGGCACATGGGGTAGTCCTGTCTCATGTTGTATACCAAAGTAAATTCCAGATGAATCAAACATTTTTAAATAATGTGGAGGGGAATTAAAAATAATAATTTCACAGTGGACTTTTCTAAGTATAACCTGAAATTCACAGGTTATAGAAACAGGTGAATTTGATTACAGAGAAATTGGAATTTCTGTGCAGCACACACAAAAATTCAAAACCGAAGTTAAAATGTAAGTTATAGCCTAAGGAAAAATATTTGCAGCACTTTTGACAGAAAAAGAGCCAGTTTCCTTAGTAAATGTTAATACAATTCAAGAAAAAGACTAACCCAACAGAAAATAGATAAGAGGCATGAAGTGACATTTCCCAGAAAAGGAATTACAGTGATGTAAACAAATGAAAAAAATGATTTGACTCATAGTGAGAGAAACGCAAAGTAGAACTAAAATGAGATGCAATTATTCATCCACTCCTCTTGATAACAATGAAAGTGTTTAAGCCACTGTGTTGGCCAGGGTAGGGGGAAAGAGGGCCCTCCCTGAGGGTAGGTGTGTAAATAGGCACAGTCTCTGTGGAAGTCAGTGGAGTTATACTATCAAAAGTGCAAATTCCCCGACAGTCCCACATGTAGGCTGTTCCTGCCAGGTATTTTCCCCCGTGTGCATCAAAGAATATGTAAAAAGGCAGTCGCTGCCACATGATCTGTATTTACCAATAAGGTAAAAGACAATTTCAGTACCCACTGGGGCCCAGATTAGAGAAGTGGTAGTATTTTCTTACAGTGGAATGTAATACAGGTTTTGCAAAGACATGGTATCTTATGAAAGATAAAATGTTTGAAAAGAAAGAGAAAGGAAGGAAGGAAGGAAGGAAGGAAGGAAGGAAGGAAGGAAGGAAGGAAGGAAGGAAGGAAGACCAAAAGACCAAGATAGGCCTTCAATCATTCTAGTCTTAACCAGAATAGTTCTCTTACAGGTACGCATATTCGCAAAGGAACTCAAAGCCTCCCAAAATATACATGGCTGTAAAGCCTTAAGGGAGTCAATTTTCTCCCTCTTAGTATTATTCTTCCTGAGAAAACAAAGTACAGTAGGTCAGCTGTCCTTCACTATTCTCTCACTGTACAAAATAAAGGCAGATGTTGGGCCTGGTGGTGCACACCTGTAATTCCAGCACTTGGGAGGCTGAGACAGGAGGATTGCTGTGAGTTCAAGGCCAGCCTGCACTACATAGTGAGACCCTGCCTCAAAAAAAAAAAACAAAAAACACCAAACCAACAAAAAAAATACAAAGGCAGACACCTCCCTTTTTTGAATTTTCCAACAGCAGCACATTGGCCCAGTTGCAGAAACCTCTGGGCCATTGAAATACTGATGTTTTAGAAGCTTCTTTGGAACAAGGCATCATAAACACAAGGAATGACCTCAAGCCTTCCCTGTCTCATGTACCTGGATTGACACACACATTTCTACGCACTCTGCACAGAACTCTTCTGACAGCAGATATGCAGGGGGTTTCCTTCCCCGCAAACCTGAGCTCCTCTGTGATGCCCAGCTGGATGGCCTACATCCAATTCGGTGCTAACAGTATCTCCTTGGAGTTACATAAGGTGGGAGTCACTGAGATGCTTTCAAATGTACTTACTTGCATTGAAAAATAAAGTCAGACTCTTTCTGAGAGATTCTACAATTAAGGACTCATTCCTACTAAATTGCCCTACATTATGATGCCAGTCATGGGTCTGAGTTGTGTACACTTATGACCAACTGGCTATAAATCTGGGGTTTCCATGACTCCCTGCTCAAGAGTGATAATTTGCTAGAATGTCTCATAGAACTCAGGAAAACACTTTGCTTACATTCTCTGGTTCATTATAAAGAATGTGATAAAGATTACAGATAAACAATCCAGTGAAATCCTCACCTCAGTGAAATCCTCACCTCAGTGAGGTGAGGCCTGGTAACATGCCACCCTCATCGCATCTAGCTGTGTTTTCACAGCGCTCAGTCTCCAGTGAACGCTCCCTTCCCAGAGATTGGTGAGTGGGGCCCAAAGTTCCAAACCTATAATCACTTAGTTTTCCTGGTGGCCAGCACCTCCAGGAACCTACACCGCCACGTCACTCGCATAAACTCAAATGTGAGCAAAAAGCCCCCTTATGTGTAGCAAAAGATTATTGCTCAGGAAATTCCATGGTGTTTAGGAGTTCTGTGAAGGACCTAGGGGCAAGGATCAAAGGTGTTTCTTGTTGTATCACATGAATATACAATATTTTAAAAGCAAAACAAAGCATCGGACATGGACGGTTTTATTCTGGGACACACAGCAGGTTGGTAGGATCAAAGGCGTTTTTCATTTAATAATCATACTTCTTTCAGAGAATGTATCACTGTCCAAGGACCATGATATTCAAAGGTACATCAGTAATAAGTAGTGAAGGTGGCAGCTCCTGATTCTATCTATCTATCTATCTATCTATCTATCTATCTATCTATCTATCTATCTATCATCTACCTATCCATCTATCTACCTATCCATCTATGTATCTATCAATCTATCAATCAATCATCTATCTAATCTGTGACAGTCATCTTTCCCATTACTGTGACCAAATACCGGAAATAATCAGCTTAATATTTCCTTCAAAGGATCTGTCTTCCCTGACCCAAATTCCTTCCACTAGGCTCCACCTCCAAAAGCTTCTGCTAGCCCAGGGATATAGCTCAGCGGTGCAAGCGCCTGCCTGGCAAGCGCAAGGTCCTGAGTTTGACTCCAAATACCAAAAAAAAGCTTCTGCCACTTCCCCACAGTGCTCTGGCCTTCAACACACAGGCCTTTGGGGGACATTCAAGATTCAAACCATGCCTCTATCTATCTGTCAGTCTTTCAGTCAGTCGGTCAGTCTGTCTATTCTGCCTATATGCCTGTCCATCTACCCTACCTTTCTAGAATTAAAAATGAAAAAGACTAATAAAAAGAAAAAAGTAAAACTAAAAGGTAAGTTGGTGTCACTGAGGTTCTTTTTCTGACAGAAGCAAGTTGCTGCTTTATTTGACAGTGAAAGTCTAGCATTTCCAATGAAGTATATAGCAAACATTTTCATAAATTAGATGAGTTAAAACTGCAGCTTCAAAGTTTTGATGAAAACATAATCAAAAATCATTATAAGATGAAAGCATTATAAAAATAACACTGGAAAAAATATATATAAATGTTTTAATTTACCTACTTGGTATCTTGGATTAACCTAAGTGCTGCTAAGAAAATGTCAGAGATGTAATTAATAGTCATATGAAAAGTTGGTTAAATCTTTATGGCATGCTTCCCAGAAGTGAAAAATTCTAATGTTTGCTTTCAACAAAATGG